CCTGTAGTTGTCTCCATCTGTCTTGTTTTGAGTGTGACACACTACGGCAGCACCACTTAACCAAACTACATCTTTTAGCAACATTGGCAGGGGCAGGTGCCATAAAGTCGGTGCCCCCAAGTCTCAAGGCAGATTGTTGGGTACATAATGTTTTATAAAAAATAAAAAAAAAGTGGGGAGTATAAAGAAAAAATGTCAGCTATAAACTGCAAGTCAAAATCCAAAGTTCTCTACAGTGGTGTACTACTGGCGGGTCTGAAAAAACTGCAACCATAGTTTCTTAACGCTGCCATCTGTTGCAAGTTGCAGGTTTGTCTAAAATGTTTTAAGCACTTTTCAGTTTAGTGGGCCTGCAGTGCTGACAAGTGTTACTATCACATCATTTAGAAGGCACAATGTACAGTTTGTGTCGCTTTCCTCTCGACAAAACAAACACTGGTCCGTTTTAATGTTTGGTTCAGTTCGATTGGGCTGGTCTGAGACAAACTCTAGAGCAGACCAAACAACTGGTACACTTCCGTGCAGGCTCTTATATGGTTCTTTGTGGAGCGAAAGCAAAGCAGAGCAACTGCAGGCCTTTATGATGGTCGGTATGCAACATTCACCACCACCAGCTCTCAGCAAGATAAAACTGTAAAGAGGTGTTGATTTAATTGTTTTGATCATTTTAGAGGATGCAATGTGTGCTGCTGTGGAGCTGTATTGCATAATACAAAGAGGTGTGACTATTGTGTAGGCTACAGTCATTGACTTGAAAAGGGGTGGACAAAATAGTAGAAACAGCTCAATGTAACACAATACAGTGTTACAGTTTCACAGACTACATTCGCTAAAATGGTCGAATAGTTGAATCAACACCTCTTCACAGTTTCACGAAAAACCGTACATTGAAACCCTCATGAAGGGAGGCTTTCTTGCAGGATTGTTGTCAGTTTTAGCAGGATGTTCCTAATAAACTGCCAGCTGAGTGTATATTGTGGCATAAAAGAGAAGGATGAGGAGGGGTAGGGATTATGAATATAAAAAAAATCAGTTTTTCTGCCTACAAATATTCTATTCTGATCCTTCACTCTGTTGGGGGACTTGTCAGTGAGCCACTCAATTAGTGTCCAGTCTAATTACACTGTGTTAACACCAAGGAGCCTAGAAGTGAAAGGCAGAAACATAGGAAGTCATGTTTTATTGTGCGATAAAGAGAGAATTGGTAATTGGAAGATTTTAACTGATTTTATAAATTAACAGAGTAGAAAATAGGGCAAGAGAAGGAGAATCCACTTGTTGTAGATCTCAAACTGTTAAAGATCAGATCAGACTGAAAAAGTGGTTAATAAAAACTAAAAGAGAGTTGTTGTTTTTTTTGTCTAACCGTAACTCACGGGGATAAACAATATTGTCATCATGATGTCATAACTGCCCAAAAGTTCTATTTACAACCATAAAAAGCAGCAGTATTAGAAACTAAACTAACTGACGTGGTCCGTCTGTATCGATCTCCTCCGCTGTTAAATCACAGCGCAGCTCCTACACACAACAAGCAGCGCTTCAGTGACAATCAGCTGGTTGGAGTGAGTGTGTGTGCGCTGGTGTTGCAAGCATGATTATGCGCGAAACTATGGCAGGGCAAAATTTTTAGTATAAATTTAAAACTACAATGGGGAAAACAAGCCAAATATCATCTTGACGTTGGCAAAGGCATAAGTTATGGGCAGTCGTTATGATGATGGTCGTTCACCAGTATGATCGTTCATCCCTACTTCCAGCCATTGATTTTGGTTAAAAACAGCTCAAAACTGTTGCAGATTAATTTTCTGTCAGGAGGCTAATGAATTTATTGTTATGTAATTTTACATTGCAAGCCCTTTTTGATAGTTTTGTTGATGTGGATACAAAGACGCAGTCGTTTTATTGGAAAGAATTACACAATTTGTGGATTACGTGAAGTAATACGAGTCCTCTGTCGAGCTTTTTCAGTTGTTTGCCCCAGTATGAGTGGCATTCACGGTGGTGACTAGTGTAGTCATCAGAGGGAAGACACACACACACACACACACACACACACGCACGCACGCACTGTTTTTACCCCCCGGGGATATGTGTTTGCATTGGTCCATATTGTATGTATGTGTTTAAAGATGAGCGCACACACATACACAACAACACACACACACACACACACACACACACACACACACACCATCAGTTGCACACATTCCAGCGTCATGGTCAAACGACTTGTCTTTCACATGGCTCATTCCTTAAAGCAGTCTGTCCTGCTGGAAGTGACAGCATATGGAAAACCTGTCTAAATGAGTCCACACATCAATTACATCAACACATTCTCACCTCGCTCGCCTCCCCCTCTCGCCTCACTTTGCACTCTGTCTCTGTCTTTCCCACATCTCTCTATTCATCACTTCTCTGCCCTTTCCTTCCGTCTGTTCTCTGATCATTCCTCAGAGCCTCCGCTTCTATCTCTCTCCTCTTACAACACTTCTATTTCCCTGTTTTATCATAGCGAAACCGATTACAGAAGAGCTTGCATATCTTATAAGAAAGGCAAAATTTTAACAAAGATTTTCAAATTCAGTATACGCAATGAGACAATTGAAATTTATCAACATTCAGAGTTTTTGCCATTGTGCTTATGCTGAGCTAAATCTCTCATCAGTATCTGTAATAGGGGGCGTTCAGACTGAAAACAACCCTGCTTTAAAACAACGCAAGGGGCTGCTTTGAAGGTGGTGTGTTGTTTCAGGTATCAGCGAGACAACGGAAATATGATCCAGGGCCGTCTGGTCAGAGCAACGGATTTATGAATTTCAATGTTTGCGCAACAATTTATAACACAGTGTGACAGAGTTTAACTTTTTATCTTTCATTCTAGGTATTGTGAATAAACAGTAAAAATACAGCTGCTACGTAACAAAGTGATCTACGAGGACTGTGTGCTTGCATGGGTTCATCTGGCCATAGCAGCACCTTGCTTAGTGGCGCGTTGTAGAAAAAGTTATGCTACGTATCAAGTTTGTTGATAGATGCACCCCTCCTTTTTTTTTTTTAATGGGACTGCTGCATACTGGCCAATGCAATTCAAATGAATGAGACTGCTGTTGTCTGTGTGAATACAGCTAGGGTGTATCAGGTTTTTGGGGAGTGGTTCACATCAATGAACAGGAGTTCTCTCTGGCAGCAACGGATTTATAGAATCTTTTCATCAATGTAATGAGGTACCTTGATTTGTCAGGTATTTAATTCGCTGGCTTAGCCAAAAACAGACCTTGCAGTCTGATCATTTATCCATAAATGTTTTCTCAATTGTTCTAGTATAATGATACCGTAATAAATTGCTGTTATAGTAGGTTTTATTTGCACACTCATTTTCATGTTTGATACAGATAAAATGGCTTAGAACAACCTTTACATTTGCAGAAGGGACCTTTGGTTGCGGGGACAGAGCTGTCATTTGCATCTGTAGGAAAATTGCATACTTCATATGCAGGTAGTATCTATGCCCTGATTTTCCCATTCTGACCCTTAGTGCTTTATAGCCATTCTTATTTGTGGTGATTGATAAAGTTCAATAATGTTTTTGAATGTGTGGAATTTTAGGAAGTGAACTGGTAAATCTGACCTGGTGAGAACTGAAGGAGGGTATGAATCTACTTTTGGTTCACTCCTTACACAAGTAATCATTTCATCAGCTTCTTTTTGTATGTTAAATAACCTCCTCCACACATTAAATGCAGCTGCGGCTTGGATTTTAACCTGGAAGAAAAAAGCATTTTGATTAATGCCTTGAAGGCTTTTATCCACTAAAATTGCATAATCTTTTTCTTATAAAGAGATTAAAAATGTTGCAAAAAAATCATTAAATTGGAAGTCAGAAATTGTTGCGGTAGAGTAAGTTTTGCTCTGAAGATGTATTCACCTGTACACACAATCTAATTATGTCCGAAGACTGATTTCATCTTTCTCTTTCCCTCCCTCTCTTCCTCTCCTAAACCAGTGGGAGTCAGGGCAGTCATTTTGTCTGCATTAAAGCTTAGCAGCGCGATTCAGGGTGTATGTGCTTAGGCCAAAATGTGTGCGCGCGCGTGATCGTGAATGTGTGTGTTTGTGGTGAGACCTTGACCTTGACTGCAGTCCCTAATGGAGGAGGCTGTTCTGTGAATGACTCAAACTCCCCCTGCCGTACAGTGGTATGTAGCAGCCCATAAAGCATGCTTAAGTCCCACTCTGGTTTCAGGGAGTGGAACGCCTCCCCCCAGCCTCCCACCCTCCCCCCTTTTCCTGCCGCTGCCTAACCCCGCCCCTTCCTCACACTCTGAAATAGCCACGTCCTTGTCCCCACACGGAGCACAGTGTGAGTCGGGGTGTGTATATATGCGGCTGTGGTTGATTGAGGAGCAGATTGCTGGTGACAGGTCACACTGCGTTCCGTCCCTCCGACCCCCCAGATTAGCGACCCAGAGCCCCCACCCCACCCTCTGCTCCTCTGGGCCCCCACCTGTTAGGATCCCTCTGCTGCTCAGATCTCTTCCTCTTGTGAACACACACAAACACACACACACACACACACACACACACACACACACACACACACACAAGCAGAGGACAACCTGCGTTAACAGAATTCTCTTATTTGTCCGTCACTCACTCTGCGGGTGATAAAGGCCATTACACATCATTAAGGTGTGTGTGTGTGTGTGTGTGTGTGTTGCCCAGCTAAGATGTGTGTGGGTTGAAAAGACTCCTGTCACAGCACGCTCTCATAATTGCCCTCTTAGCCAATTATCCCCCATTTAAAAGCAAGTCACCTGTTCTGCTCCCGTGTCCGCACATGCACACACACACACACCGAATAAATAACATAGAAATTTAATATGTAATCGTAAGTGTTCCTGAGTGATATGTTTGTTTATTGTGCGTGCGTATATGCTGCAATGCTTCTTGTTGTCATCGGTGTCCATTCATGCCGTTGTGTCTGCTCCCCCCTTCAGATTCTGATGCACACGAAGGACATGGTTCAGAAGGTGGGTTATTAACATGCTTTTGGCTGCTCTGCATCTACTGACTTATGATCAGTAAATGTAACACAAGACAAATACATTTGGAGAACGGCTGAACAATTTGACCTTAAATCTTAATCAGTCGGGCCAGTAGTATTTTTACTTCAGTACTACTCTGTAGGTAAATCGAATGACTAAACTTACTGTTACTTACATTTGTTGGTTGTTGCAGCTTTTCTCTTAAATTTATATTTAAAAAATTGTGATATGGGAAATTTAGATTAGTTAAGAGATTTGTAATGTCAGTAAATCGGTAATTTCCAATACAAATTTGAAACTGTCTTCATTTCCTTCAATAACTTTAATACCATTGTTTCATTTTATTACTTTGTGACTTAGATGAATTTGGAAGTCATCTACGGAGATACAGACTCCATTATGATCAACACCAACAGCAGGTCTCTGGAGGAGGTCTACAAACTTGGCAATAAGGTCTGTTAGTGACTTTATTTTGCTGTGTCTGAATGTTTTTGTCACATGTATACCCAGTAATGTACATTTCCTCTTCACTTGTGTCAGTATTTGACACTTTCACCAAATGCGTGTGTCGTGTTTATTGCTCCCAGGTGAAGGCAGAAGTAAACAAGCTTTACAAACTGCTGGAGATTGACATCGACGGTGTGTTTAAGTCACTTTTATTGCTGAAGAAGAAGAAATATGCAGCCTTGGTTGTGGAGAATCATGGCGACGGACAGTACAGCGTCAAGCAGGAGCTCAAAGGCTTGGATATTGTCCGCAGAGATTGGTGTGACCTAGCCAAGGAATGTGGCAAGTACGTTAGATAGACCAAATGCATCTGTGGCTAATTTGTGTTAGCACATTAGAACAGTTGGTATCTTAAAGTTACTATCCTATTTGCATGTTAACATATACAGGGCATTACAGGGGATGTTAAAGGTATTTATTGATCTTTAATAAACAATACATCTGAATTTTATACCTCATCTTTTCTCATCTCCCAGCTATGTGATTGGTCAGATCTTGTCAGACCAGAGTCGTGATGTCATTGTAGAGAACATCCAGAAACACCTAGTGGAGGTGGGAGAGAAGGTAGCAAGTGGAGCCATACCTCTCAACCAGTATGAGATAAACAAGGTGAGGACGCATGTGTATCCGTATTAAGTAAGAAAACCTGAACTTTCTAGAGAAGAATCTCTGTCATGTGAGTGTCGCTGCCCTTTGTCAAACAGCTGTCAGCACACACAGCTGCGCTTCACAACTACAGTGTACATGGTATAAAAGTGGTCAGCCAGGTGCTGTTTCATCCTTCATAGAACACTGTATCTGGGTAAACAGGCAGGAACAAATCAGTGCAACTTAAGTCAGGCTGCTTGGTGTATTTTCCTTCTATGCCTCTGCGCCGCTGACAGCCAGGTCAAAGGCCAACTTCACTGTGACATCATAATGGTCTGCAAAAACAAATCTGGCTATTATTCAGTGCTGTAACTCAGGAAGAGGAGTTGTGCCCATATTTCCTGCAACTTGGCTGGTTGGCGGAGGCATACAACCGTGAGGCAGTAATTCTAGTTTTTTAGTTATTAACTGTCTCTTGCTCGTCTTTTTTTTCCTCTGTACTTCCAGGCATTAACTAAGGATCCTCAGGACTATCCAGACAAGAAGAGCCTCCCTCATGTCCATGTGGCTCTGTGGATCAACTCTCAGGGCGGTCGGCGGGTTAAAGCTGGAGATACAGTGTCTTACATCATCTGTAAGGTGTGTACATATAAAAGAGAAATGAGTATCCTCTCTTAAGCTACTGGTACAGTATTATTTTAAGTGCATTTTAATACGTGATCACAATAAAAATTCTGACATGTATGGAACATTACAGATTGACAATGAACACCATATAACAATGTCTACAGATACTGCTGATTTTGAGTGTTTGGACCTACAGTATTACATACAATATACAGCACTCAAACCACTGCATATCTCCCCTTCATCCCCTAGGATGGCTCTACATTGGCAGCCAGTCAGAGAGCCTATGCTTTAGAGCAGCTCCAGAAGCAGGAGGGTCTCAGTCTGGACACTCAGTACTACCTGGCCCAGCAGATCCACCCTGTGGTGTCTCGAATCTGTGATCCCATTGAGGGCATCGACACCGTGCTCATAGCCACGTGGCTGGGTGAGTTAATTACAGGTTTTGAGAGACTGTAAAAGACTTTGATTTTATTGAGAGTGGGTGGCCCGATGCCATTCAAGTGTTAAATTATGACTTTAGGAATATAAGGTTGCCTTATCCCTTAAATAATAATAAAACACAGAAAAAAAGAGAAAAAGTCAAATGTTCAATTAATGTATTTGATTAAAATCTAAATAGTGAAATGTTTTTAATTGGTGTTGACCTCAACTTACATAACACTTTGGATTCAATGACTTAACAGAATTCTCATTTTCAGTTTAGAGACAGTTCTCGTGCTATTTTATAAATGAACACTGGTCATGAAGTATTTGTGGGGCACAGATTACTGTGCTATTAATCTGACTTAATATGTTAGCATTAGAATATAGTCTGTTGACAGCTGAGACAGCCAAATATAGGAGTGTTGTAATGCTTAGTATCACAACAGTCTAATAAAAGTATAAAATAGATGTTTGATTTTTGTTTACAAGTTATAAGAGTGAGTGGTTTGGATGGGATTCTCACTGTACACACATTTGTTCAAATTACTGTAGATTTCAGTGAAAAAAAAAAATTGTAAGAGACGAAACAATTTGTAGTGAAAGCTATCATCCATCCCAGGTCTGGACCCCAGCCAGTTCCGGTCTCAGCAGCAGTACCAGAGAGAGGAGGAGGCTGACGGCATGCTGGGAGCTCCGGTCCAACTGACTGATGAGGAGCGCTACAAAGACTGTGAGAGGTTCACTTTCACCTGTCCTCAATGTGGCACTAACAACATCTACGACAGCGTCTTTGAAGGAGCTGTAAGTATACAGACAGTATACACTGGTAGCAGGTCCTACTGCTGTCCATTCTGTGCCATCTTCTGTTATGTTACAGATTTCTATGGCCAATGAGTATAGTAAGTATAGAATTTCGAAATTGTGTTGTTTTATTGTTTTTTTTGGGGGGGGGCGGGGTTATCTTCTGAAAGTTGCATGCATCCAGTTATACTTCCTGGATTCACCTGGTGCAACTTTTATCATCTGTCCATGTCAGTGATAATTTGCACAGACCATCGCAACTATGCAGACATGAAAACTATTCCACCATACACAGTGTCAAATGTGTAAACACGTCTGTGTATGCAGACACCCCATGTAGTATAAACAAATCTTGTGTGTGTCTGCTGTCTGTGTGCATTTTGACACATAATGCAGTCTTTGACAGTTATGTTTGGCAGCTTGATGGCTTACTTGCTCAATACACATGTTCTATCTTGATTATCTTGTCTACTCAACACAAAATGTTTGGATGAGGTATTCACATAAAACATTGAGTTGCAACATCTAACAAATATTCTGTCACAGATTACTTGTCTAAGTCTAAAATTTTGCTATATACTATATGTGTCAATGCACTATTAATTCTAAATGCAAACATCTTTTCTCCCAAGAGGAAGAAAAATGTGCAATTTAGTACCAGAGTTTTCATCATTCTAAAGGAAATGTTGCCAAAACAGCTCCAGACGATCATTCTTCTTGAAAGGCAGCACCATTAAAATCATCTTAGATCTAAGTGCAACATTTGAAACACATAAAACCTACACAACTGTTGCTTAGCCTGCGGCAGAAGAATAAGTTATGGAGTCAGAGATGTGCGGAACAAATAAAAAATCGCATACAAATACAGAGAAAGAATGAAATGAAAAAGAGAAGATTTCTTTTATCACTAATGGTTTGTTTCAGTGGTGTAATGGATTAATCAGCAGAGACACAGATACAGAGGGGAAGAATGGTGTTTCCAAAGGCATTTCAGTCAAACTTCCTGTGAGGGATTCATGCTTTAGTCATCCTCTATATTGTGTCTCTGTCTGTATTTTTAGACAGCTGCCTGGCTCCAAGACGGACTCTGTTTTCATTGGCATAGTTTGGACTCCACAACTTGAAAAGCCTTTCCTTAACCCCTGCTGCTCTATGGGCACACACATACACACTGATATCCTACCATTTGTCAGGCCAAGGTCGTGTGTGTGTGTGTTATCAGCTTCTAATGAGGAGCAGGACACACAGCTTTTTCTTGTCTGGATGACGCTCATAAAGCTGACAACCCTCTGTCCACTGCTGGCACAGAGAACCTGCATTAAATTAAAAAAGGAGTATTACACACATGCTCCACTAAAGGATGATATCATTATACACTTCAACAGATACTCAAACAAGAAGCAAGCAGGTTCAGTTTAAGTTAATCAAATTCGTGTTCATACACAAATGAAAATGAATATTGGCAAGGAAACAACCCGTTGCCTATTCTGAAGATTAAACAGTAGAGTGTGGTGTTGAAACGATGGCTTGTTATCTGTCAGAAAGGTTAGTGTTGTAGACATTTTTTCAAATTTTAGACTAAACTAACCAAGATTTGTCTGATTACTGGTGTTAATTTTCCACCATGCGTCAGAGTCTGGTATGCACGCACACACAGAGAAACTGATAAGACAGTAAGTTAATTAGGGTGGTGAACATGGTCTAACAGCTCAGAGAGAGGGGAGGACAGATGGGCCTTGACTCCACCACTGACACAGAGCCAGAGACGGTAGGAGGAGGCGGTGATGGAGGACAGACTGAGGAGGAAAGTTGTTTGATGGGGGGGAACGTAGCAGGAGAGAGGGATGAAAAGATTAAGTGTGGAGGAGAAAAATGATCTGGAAAGAACTGCAGGGATTTCCCTCAGTTCAGTTTTAATAGAGCACTGGGTATCCTTTGGGCTGTTAAATCAACACGATGTGAAAGCTGCACATTATCAGACCAAAGACAGGGATGAAAACGGTCCAGGTAGACAGTTGACATTGTAAACCTTTTGAAATTGCTTTACAGTTTTGCAAAAGGCTATTTAAAGATGACAGTTGGTTGGGTTTTAGACAACATGTAGAGGAGTGGGGAATTGAAAAGGATACTTCCTTGAATTGCTTTATTTGAACTTTTCTCATAAGTCTCAAAGACACTACTTTGGGTGTTTCCTACTTTCATTTAATTTCTCAATCATAAAATAACTGGCACGAAAGTGTTGGTTATAACTTGCTTGGGAGGGAGAGTTCTGTTAACAAAATCAAGTTTGGAATGAAACAAGTGAGATAAAAGAGTGGAGGTGGGAGGGTATTATGGGGGGAGAAGAAGGGAGGCTACTTTTTTCCAGAGCAGACGGGAAAGGACAAAACATGAAGAGGAAAGGAAAAGGGAGGCGAGATGGAGATGGAGAGGGTTAATGTGTGTATATTAGAAAGAGCCAAATGAGTTGATTGACTTGAACTGGCCTAAAATCTGGTGGGGTTTTTTTTTTCTCCAAAAAGGAATGATGTAAGCAAACAAAAAATCAGTGTGTGTGCTGAGTGGGGGGTGTCACATGCATTCCTGTGTGTCATTGACTTCTCTGCAGAAACCTTTTTTGCTGCTATCAATGCGACAGTTAAATGGAGTTCAGGTTGAAAGGAGCGAGTGTTTAAAGCTGTTATATTTAGTGTAATTGTTATGTACTGTGGATACTTTTTTCATTGCATTAACTATAAGCCTTGCTGTCATGTGGACAATTCAGAGGCACTGAGGTCACATTGACCTGTTTTCTTCAGGCTAGAATAATGTTAAAATTTACTGGTCCCAGGGGTGCTTTAAGCCCTTACACCTTCCACTTGACATGTTCTTTGTGGACCTTTAAAGCTAATGGCCACGTTTCTATGTTACGTAACTGACTTTTCTGATTCTGAGGTTAAAAATGCAGCTGTGATGAAATTTTAATTGCACTGAGGTTATAATAGATGCTTCATGCTTACCATTGTACAGACTCAGAACAACAGACTTTATAGTATGAAAACCTTTTAATCTATGTAAATTTGATTTAGTAAAATATGGGACCAATTGGATCGGCCTTTGCCAAGGATTGTATTGTTCTCTTAACTTCTCCTATTGGGTTGGGTATAGTAGTTTTCACTAGAAAATGGGAGGGCCTATTTTGGGTACCCCTGGGTCAGGAAGTAAAAGTCCATGTTCTTCATGGACAATGTTACATTATTCCCATCTGGAACACTTGATACTTTCCCAATTGAATCCCATTGAATTATGAATACAATTTAATGTACAAATGTGGTTCTTTAATTAAAAGCCAAAGATACAAACCTTTGTACATAAGAGTGTAACATGGGGTGTTAACTACAACTCCCCATATGCATTTTGTTAAGAAACATCCAATCACAGAGCTTGAAATTCTGTTATGCTTAGTGTGAGCGGAGGCTTAAGAATACAGTGTTAAGAAAACAGTTTATAACAGTTTATAACAGTCTGCAGAGTCAGAGAATTCAGTTTCTTATTCTGGGTCAATTTTGGATGAATTCAGCAACTATAGTAATGAGTTAAGTTCTCAACATCAATGTTCTCCACTTTGATTCATGGCTTCTTCTCCATAGTGACGGTGGCTGAAGCACGTTGGGTACTGTAGTATTAAGAGCCATGTCTGATTGATTGTTTCTTAGAACTTGAGTTGACTTAATTGAAACTAGTTTCCATAACATAAAACTTCATTATATATGGGGTGAGTCGTGTTTTTCCCTGTTAAAGAACATTGAGGATATAAAGTAAAACGTTGAAATGGGAATTAAGAGGAAAATTACAAGGAGCAGCTCCTCCTCTCACTTTGCAACCTGAGTTTTAGTACCGCTATCAAAATGTTCTTTGATACCTTACTTTGGAGCATGTAAACTTGACTTTTTTTTTTTTTTTTTAACAAAATATGTCGATGTGCTCATTACACATCGATAATAAACAACTTGAACTGCTGACTGCTGCTTTTTTGAGAGAGCACATTCAATATATTTCATTGTAGACTTTTCAAATGGTCGAAAGAATTTGGGTGAGCTGCCTAATAGACTCTGTACATCTCTGCTGCCCAGTTGTAATTATGTATTTTGAATGAGACTAAAGAATTTTTGCTTAAAGTAGTTGATCATGTTGTTGATGGTATGTGGATATGGTCTGTTGTTGTTCTCTCATAATATTCTTCCTTGCAGGGTTCAAAGTTGGAGCCCAGCTTAATGCGATGTTGTCACATCCCGTGTGGGAGCCGCCCCCTCGACTACGCTGTGAACATCAGCAACAAACTCCTACTTGAGATCCGTCGCCACATCAAAAAATACTACTCTGTGAGTATTTCTTATTTGTTTTGCAGATTGCAAGCATGAGTAGGGTTCTGGTAAATAATATAAATTCTGCAGATAACTGCTTTACATAGACCAAAAACATTCATGCATTTTACTTCTTCACTTCTGTTAAGACTTGTTAGACTTGCGCAGTGCAGCTGGCCAGCTGACCACGAGCTGTCCTACTTTTTTGCCTACTTTTTTTTTTATCTTTTTCGTACTTGAACTTATATCACCAATACATTGTCAGAACATATGCTTTGCTAGATCAGTAATACACACTGAGTGTGAAAAGGTTTATATGTTTGGTCCAAGTATTAGGTCAAACATTGGTTTGTTTCCACACCATTATCTAGCAACTCATTCCTTAAGAAATGAATGCACGCTCATGTAGTCAGAGAAACTGAGCTGTATGTGATGAAATTGTCAAAGCTTGTGAAAATTGACCTTCCACAAACTGCCTATAAAATGGTTGGACTATATTTAACACAATGAGGGATGCAACAGATGAAGTGATGGTAAGAGAAGCCATCAAAAACATGGTGGACGAAAGATGAAGGAAACCCCAGCAGGGCACTGCACTGACATTTTCAACCAAAGAGCCCATTATGCTTGCAAAATGAAAAGACCACCAGAAAGATTTGTAGCAGCATAATCCATGAAAATACTTAAATGGACATTCTTACTTTGAATACCACGGTTAACATGCACTCTGTCCATTTTTTTAGATGATACGGTGAAATTTAAATAATCCGAGAAACTAAGTTATTGGAGAATCAGCCAAGAATTACAACAAATTAAACATATTTGACTTTAAAGATTGAGCAGATTTGTGTGAATAATACAGAGTTACTCATGGCTTGAAGGAATACTTACGATGTTGGCTTATAATCTTTACATGGTTTTACAATTAGTTGATTAATCAGTTAGTCAATCAGCAAGTATTTTGATAATCAATTAAGTCATTAACATTACAAAATGCCAAACATGACCTTGGTCTTAATTGTTATGATTTGCTTTTTTTTATGCTGTCGCCAGCATGGAGACATTACGTCTATGTGACCATATTTCCTGCAACTTGACTGGTTGGCAGAGGCATACAACTGTGAGGCGGAGATTCTGGTTTTCTCTTTGCTTTAAAATGTGTACTGTCCAGATCATAAGTATTTGGACAGTTGCACATGTTTTGCTCTTCAGGCTCTGAGGGTTATATCTCCCACACAGTTCTTTCTATATTGACATAGACCTCAAATTAAAGCTGTGACTTGACACTTTAATGTAGTATCTGTTATTTTATTTCAAATTAAATGTGCAGAAGCTCAGAGCCTGAGGAATAAAAAAAAATGTGCAACTGTCCACATATTTATGGCCTGGACTGTATATTTAGGCTAAAGGATGCTGGTCAGTCAAAACAAACAATTTGAAGGCATAACTTTGAGCTTTAGGAAATTGTATAATCATTTGTCTCTTTGACATTTTACAGACCAAACAATTAATGGAGCAAATAATCTGTAGATTGCTTGATACTTGAAAATTACTTGATTTATAGAGATATTGGAAAAAACTTGCTGAAGACTTTTACATGTTCCCTGTCCAATGTATGGAATATTATGTCATTCAGAAGGACTCTACAGAGAGGCATTGGTTAAAGTTTATGTTATGCTAATGCTAGTTAGCTGGCTGGCTGGCTAACATCAAGCCCATTATTAGAAAATATTTCTAAACTTTCTGGTTTTTCTTTCCAAAAAAGTTCATGTTACAGCGGACACAAGCTTATGTAATTTGTTGACTTACTAGCGGTCGTGGAGGCCTGGCAGAGTCCTCATCAGGGTTGTAAGTGTAAGTATTTTTGCCACACAGCATGTAAAAGTGAGCTTGCTAGCCTGTGTCTGAATGTGCCGACGAGAACGGAGTTTGCGGAGAGAAAACTAAATGTACAAGTCTACAAAATTGAGCTTACTTCTATGCACAAGTTTATAGAACTAAAGTTACAGATACAAAGCCCTGTGTTCAAGTACACCTTTTTGAATGATACACAGTTCAGCAACAAATTGTCACTGTACTCGGTGCCTGACCAGCAGCTTGAGAGTGAATTAAACTGGATTCCTGTGTTGTCTTTGTAGAGGGCTCTCTCTCTCCTGGTAGCTTCTAACACCTTGTTCTTGAGAGAGTGGAATGCACTGTCTGTAAAAGTGTGTGTGTTTGTGTGTGTGTCAGGCTTACTCTCCCACAGTGCTGAACAGAAATCAATTAGTGTGGTGAATGTGTGGGGAGCGAGTCCCCCTCAACCCCTTTGTCACGATGTGTGAAACAGCTGCTACCGCTGAATACTTACACCTCACACAGCAACACATACACACTCACACACACACCACTGGAGGCTGAACAGCAGTGGACAGAGCACACACAGCGGTGCAATGAAGAGGGGTAATATTGTGTAATTAAGGATTCCTTTCAGGCCGAGGGAGAGTTCAAATAGAGCTGTTTGTCTGGGCAGATAGAGTGAAAGCTCTGCACCTCTCTCTGTGTGTGTCTGTGTGTGTGTCTGTGTGTACATGAAGATGTGTACATGTGTGTTGGCGTCCTAAGCTAGGACCACAGAGACATTAATCATTAGTAATGCCCCCCCCCCCATCCCCACCATTATCAATAAACCAGCACCCTGAGAATGGGCAAACACTTGTTCACTCACTCACTCACTCACTCACTCACTCACTCACTCACTCACTCACTCGCTCACTCACTCACTCGCTCACACACTCTCTCTCACACACACACACACACACACACAAATATAAACACACACTCTGTTGTCATCCTCTCCTCCTCTCGTCCCACTGTCTTTAGCAAAATGAGAGATTCGCTTGTTTCCTGAAACCACCCAATTCTTCTTTTTCTTTTTTTCTTTTTTTTAAACCCCTCCCATCTAACCACCGTTGCCATGGCATTTAACAAATTATTGCAATTACCCTCGTCATGCGGGTCGCCCCTGGAAACGGGCTGAGGGGCAAGAGAAGAAAGGGGGAGGGAGAGAGAAAGGGTGAATGAAGACCAGAGAAGGTGATAATCCTGTTTTGAACAAAAGGTCAAATTGTTGAATAGAGAAGCTTTGATTAAGCGGAGGAGGTACAAAGTGGAACCGTTTGAGCTTTATTCACTGTGTGTGTGTGTGTGTGTGTGTGTGTGTGTGTGTGTGTGTGTGAGAGAGACAGAGAGAGAGTGTGTTTTCTATTCACTTTAGAGCTGGAAGTGTTGACTGCTGAAGCACAAAAACCAGTTAGAGCTCTCTGGTGTGCGTGTGTGTGTGTGTGCGCGCGCGCGCGAGTGTGGTGTGCAGGTGGATTCCTCTGGCACTGACTGACTCCTGAGTCATGTCAGAGAAACTTCTCCACTGTGTTAACAGTAGAGCTGAACCGATTAGTTGATTATTCTAATAATTGATCAACAAACGTCAATCTACTACTATAAAACTATTTTAATAATTGTTTACTAATAAATTAACTGGTTGCTGCGTCTCAAATGTCAATACTTGCAGTTTTTTGATTCTTAAGTGAAGATTTTTGACTTTTGAACTGTTGGTCGGAAAAAAACAAGTACTTTGAAGATGTCACCTTTGGCTTTGGGAAGTTTCAAAGGGCATTTTTCATTATTTCTGTACATTTTATAGACCAAATAATCAATTGGTTCATTGAGAAAATGTACAGCAGATTCATGAAAACTAAATAATCATTAGTTGAGCCTTAATTAACAATAGCAGACCTTTGACCTTTTGTTGGCTAGTGATCAATTAATCATTTAGTCACTAAAATGTCATAAAATAGTGAAAAATGCTGATCACAAGTTCCCTAAAACGACCCAAAAAAGACCAGTGGTACAAAGAGCTGAGCACCATGGGAAATGAGACTGCTTCACCGTCTTTTAATGCTTAACGCTTGAAAATATATCTTTGCAGCTTCCATATGAAACTACAAGAATAAGAGGTTGTTAAAATATCAGAGCCCTAACTGTTCAGATGTAACAGAGAGGATTTGGAAGAGATGAGTGTTAAAAAAAAAAAAAAAAACCCCAACAGACAAAGAAGGAGAAGAAGAGAGAGGGTATATTTCGTGGTGGGCCCTGTCGTGGCCTGGTCTTGCCTCTGTTTGGTTAAATTATGTGGAACTCATTTGACGTCTACATTCAATGTGTCAGATATCCACTGCTATAATTATGCAATTATGAGCCTTTATTCTCTCACGTCCGACTGTACACCCCTCCCACCCCCCACTCCCTACCCTCGCTCTGGCGAAATGCCTCAATTAGATTTCCTTTTTTTTTTTTGTTCTTCCTGCCTCACTCCTCATGTGCTCCTTGTTTTTAGTCCTTTCTGTTTGGCACACACAGGTCTGCGGCACTTAATCTTAACTTATTTTTTATTTTGTGTATGCGTGTGTATGTTCAGTTTAATGCATGTGAATGGGAAGCGATTAATATGTTTGTGCTCACACTGAATTGTGTGTGTGTGAGAGAGAGAGAGAGTGAGTGAGTGAGTGTTTGAGTGAGTCCCATGGGAACAGCAGTGTGTGCCAAGGCTTGTGTCATAAGAAATACACAAAAAAAGACGGAGATCAAACAGCCGATCACACTCATACTCCTTATCTCGCACCTCCATGAACCATTGTCCTGGACATGTCTTTATCAGAGACGGTGAAGCAGTCTCATTTCCCATGGTGCTCAGCTCTTTGTACCAGCTCGATGGAGGTGTTTAGATAATTAGTCCTGGAGCTGGGGTTTGTGGGTAAAACTGTGAACTCTGGGACTTTCTAATTGATTTGGGACATATGTGTATGTTTGTGTGAACGTGTGTGTTTGGTTTTCATTTAGAGGAGATTGGCTCGTTCTCTCTCTGTGTGTGTGTGTGTGTGTGTGTGTGTGTGTGTGTGTGTGTGTGTGTGGTGTGGTGTGTGTGTGTGTGTGTGTGTGTGTGTGTGTGTGTGTGTGTGTGTGTGTGTGGTCCAGGTATTATTCATGTTGTGGGGACATAAATCTATTTACACAGTCACATTATGGGGACTTGTCTTCTATGGGATAAAAAAAATCCCCATAAAATAAATCATGACATTTTAATGTGAATACACATTTGAAGGTTGAGATAAGGTTAGGTTTAGGTTGGGGTAAGGATTGTGGTTAGGAAAGGAGGAAGGTTAATGTTAGAGTAAATCTCCAGGAATTGAATGCAAGTCAATGTAACATCCTCTGAAGACATGGAGACATAACTTAGTGTGTGTCTGAGCCTGTGTGTGTAGATTACATGAATCAATCCTCTTCCTGCTCTTACAAAAAGTAAGAAAACATCCTAAAACACGGATTGTAAGACGACCAGTTTGTCCTTAAATCCTCAAAGTTAGGGACATTCATTTTGAGATTTTTTTTCTCAAGGATAGCTGACGCTCAATAACTGACCAGATTAAAATGTACTCTTTAGAACAGACGAGTGTCTGTATCCCATTAAAGAAAATACCAATACACAGGGGATGAAGTGGACTGGAACAATCCAGAGTGTCTAAACAGAGAGCGAGACAGATGAGCACACACACAGGCAGGAAAGAAGCCCCTCCCCACAGATGATCACGCAAGCCGATGGTACTTTTAACTTCATCGTTGTAGAAGAAGCCGTCCTGCTGAACCAGGAACACAAAAAGCTCTGCTATGAATAATGATGTTATTATAAAGATGAGCGCCACCTGTGATTACAAAAAGAGCAGAGGAGCAGAATCACTTCTTGACCAGTGCGGACAAATGCACTTCTGGTGTGAACAGCCAGACTACTGCTTGTGTGATAGTCGGACTGGCATTAATCCTCCAAATGAAATAAACAGGCCAGGCAGCTACTGGTTTTTATTCAGAAATAGCAAGTCGACAGGCTGTGGGGATAGTCTTGTGAGCAGACTGTCGGATGGATATTTTAACTTTAACTTTTGAACTGATAGTATTAATTGATTAAAAACTTTCTCTAAGAGGTATACATACTCTACACAATAAACCAGTCATCCACAGTCATATATTTGATCATTCAACTCTTCAACAGTTCAACTCTTGGGATTGCAAGAAAAATGTGGAATTATAAAATCCATTGGAAAATGAGTTAAAAGATGATGGAGCAAACCTGCTGTAATATGCAAGAAAGTACCAGTAATATGTCTCCCATCAAAACAACAATCCCAAATGTCAAAGCTACTTACTTTAATGTTTTAGACAAGAGTCAGACCTCAATCCAACTGAGATTTAGTGGTAAAAATTAAAGATTCCTGTTCACTCACTGTCCCCGTACAAGTTCACAGACTTTAAGCAGTTCTGCAAATGACAGTGGAGGGAAGATTACAGTGTCCAGTTGTGTTAAAGGGGTACAAACTCCTCCACATGCACTCTAAGGTGTAATTGCTGTAATGCCATGTACTTACTTTGGATTTATTTGTACAGAATTGAGACTGTTTGTGTTGATCAGTGTGAAAGTTTAATTACACTGTTTATTCAATGTTATAAAGCACAAAAAAGACCAAGCGGGGATGATTTTTATATTTATTTATTTATTTATTTATGGTTTATTTGAATTACAGGCAGTGCTTTTGCACAGCACATATACTTCTCTTTCTTTCACCTGAGAAACAAATACAGGTAACCCTCTCCCTGTAACCAGCGACAGTTTGTCCTAGTTAGTTCTTCCTATGAGAGGTTCCTGAAGGTTTCTTCACTGTGGAAAAGATCATTTATATACTGTAGAGTTGGCTGTAAAGAAAAAAAAATATTCGTCATAATTTTTTGGTTGTTGTTCAAAACTAATCAAGAGACTAGACAAAGGCAAACATAAAAATCAATGGGAGAAACAGTGCATGCTTGTACGTGTGAGGGGGATGTGGGTAGAAAGACAGGTGCGGTGGTTTTAAAGGGGTTTATTTTGAAAGAATAGAAGGACCGAAGGAAGGAAGGATAGATAGATAGATAGATAGATGGAAGGATAGAGGAAAGAAGCAAGGGCTTTGATGGTGGTGGGTCTTATGCTCTGTCATTAGTTGGGCATTAACCCCCTCCCCTTTAAACCCACTTAGTAATGACAGGGCATAAGAAGCAGAGGAGGAGGAGGGGTCTGAAAGAATATGGGGAGATTGAGAGGGTTAGACCACAGCACCTGCCCAGGGTCACTACCTCACCCCAGGGGGTCCTAACTACTACGTTTTGGCTGTCCGCTGCTCTGCCTGTCTGACAAGTCCTCCCAGAGCAGGACCATGACACACAGCAGCTGAATACATTCAAATGTAAAGACTGAGAGAATGAGGAGGGTGGGATGTGAAGTCAGATGTAAACCTCTGTTCTTTTCCTTATGTCTTCGCTGGTCTTTTGCAGTTGTTTGTATTTTACAGCTCCTGTTTTTCTTCCTCCGAGTACTTTTCTTGTCAGTGTTGTGCAGAATTAGAGCAGCTAAATGGAAGCAACAATTTTCAGCAAAATTTCCTCATTACCAGAAACAGTTTTTAAAGTGTCTTTGAGGCAGCAAAAGTTTTTTTTTTGTCAATTTTTAAGAACACCTTTATTGACAAAATAAATGCCCACATGAATGCATTTCATAAATAAGTAAACACGAAAGGTTGTTAAGGCTACTGTGTATATCTTTTCTGATGCAAGCCCTTCTATGCTCATCCGTCGGATGGAAACGCACCTTATTGGTGTATGTGTGCGTTTTGAGATATTTACATCAGGGATCTCTTTGGACATGAAAAACTTTCTAAAGGAGTTTTGCTGTAATGGAAATTCAGAGAGTTTGATAAATGCTCTGAAAATTGTTGAATGGAAATTAACAAATGGGTCAGAGTACATTTTAAAATATTTTTTTTTTTAAAAAACAAACAATTTTTTGTTATTGTTTTCGGTATTTTATTTCTTCTTCAGAGCCAAAACCTCGGCAGAAACCAGAATGCTCACCGATTAACAACTGAGAATGGAGCGTGTTTGATCATGAATGTGTTTCAACTTTTTAAAAGTCTAGGATAAGTCATTGCCTATTAGTATGTCCATTATTACTGTGATTAATCATATGGTTTATATATAGAATGTGAGAAAATACTGAAAATGTTCATCTCAATGTCCGTTAGCCCGAGTTAACACCTTCAAATATCTTGTTTTGTCCAAACCAACGATCCAAAGCCAAAACATATTCAGTTTACGCAGATATAAAAACAGCAAATCTTCGTGTTTGCATTTTTCACTTAAAACATAACGATTAATCAATTATCTAAATGGTTGACCTTTCATTTTCTATCGCTTCACAAATTGTCGCAGCTCTACTAAAGGTTGGAAGTTCAAGACTTTGGAAGCAACTTGTCTGATGTGTCTCTGATAGGGCTGGTTGGTGTGTGAGGACCAGGCCTGTCAGAACAGGACCAGACGTTTGCCCATCGCCTTCTCCCGCCACGGACCTATCTGCCCTTCCTGCACCAGGGCGACTCTCAGACCTGAGGTAACACACGAACATCACAATTCACTCTTCCCTCTACACACACACACACAACTATGCATTCCCTTACACACTCTACAATGAGGATAACATACACAAAAACTGCTACATCACACACACACTCTGTTGTCTGAGGTTGAGATGAATGCACGCACCAACACACACTGTCGAATTGTGTATGTTTTGTCCAGGTGATGGTGCTATGGAGCTGAAGTCTCCCCTCTCATATGTGCTGTACATCTCAGCTCGTTAGTATCACATTACCACATATATACACATGGATCAAAGCAATCCTCTCTTTGTCTTCCAGCTTCTGTGTGTATGTTCGACGGCGCGTCCGTGCACACACATGCTTGCCTTCATGCATTTGAAGGCACTAAGAGCTGGATGGTAGTTTAGCCATTAAAAGCATCTGTCTGTCTAGCTCTTGTAGCTGCCTTATGAACACTTTGTTAGCTTGACCACTGGATTTAAAAGAAACACTCTCCCTTTCAATTGGAGTGTGACGGTTCAATCTATTTTTTTGTCCTCTCTTTCTCTGTCCCATTCCCACCATTCCTGTCTCAACCCTTGCCTTAACTCTCTCTTGTCAATTTTTTATCTTGCGCGCTCTGCTCCTATCTGTCCCCCCTGGCTGCTTTGCTGTGTCTGGCTCTGTGTCGACAGGTTGTAAACCAGAAGGCCAATTTCTGCTGTCACTGTAGCCACTTAGGCAGCCATTGCTGTGCCTGAGGGCCGTGGCACTTTAAACTGTGGGCTGAATAAAACATTTAACTCTCTGTGCTCACTCTTACACCCTTTCACTACCCTAAAACCTGTAGCCTGTCTTCATTTTACCTGGTTTCTGCCACACTGTTTGGCTTCCTACTCTATCATTACATAGTCTTTTTATGTACATCTATGGAGGACAGGTGATGATGGTGATGACAAACAGACTTAACCAGCAAAGCTTACAAAGTCCTTTGCATTAAGGTAGAAAAAAGTGTAAATAAAATGAGCCAGATTCAGTGGAAAACTTGGACCTAGCCAAATCTAGACTACACTGTCTATATTATATTTACTGTAAGGTAAGATAGATAGGAGTTATAGCACATTGAGAAAGGTCTTCCCTGTGTCTCCCCCTGCCTGAGGAAGGATTCAGAAAATCACCGCTGTATCCTTAAAGGTTAAAGAGGTTCACAAAGTAGAGGGAAAAGCTAAATTGGTTAAAAAAAAAAAAAAAAAAAAAAAAAAAAAGGTTGCAAACATACCTTCGAGATAAGATTTACTTTGTCTGCTTGGACGACAACAGTGGCGCATCTTATGTCGCAACCTAACTGATAAATGGATACACATTTTAGCCAATTCATAAAATTGGTATACAAAGTAGAGTGTTCATTAAATGTCATTATTAACCTAATATAGTCTAACCAGGGCGGTTCTGACTGTCTGATTGAAGCATCTCTACTCAACAGTGTGCTGGCTACAGGTAGTGTGAGGAGGAAATAAGCAAACAGGTGGCATACAGTGTTAAGCCTAGTGTTAAAGTCAGTCTGCAAAAACAGGGAGAATGAATGAGTTGAATGTGTTTCAGTGATTCTCATGTCATAAATTCAACTAGTGTGACATTTAAGCGCTGAACAAGCTATGAAATCAATGATTTAGGCAGCCGGGGCGAGTATGCAGGACTCTCAAATTGAAATGCTTTTGAGTATTTAATGCATTCTGTATTAACAACTTTCATAATGAATTCTCTATTAAGTGTAACATGGAAAGAAGAATTTAAAATGTATTATTTAGGCTGGCATGCTATCGCATGAGTCCTCCTTCAGTGCCCTTAAGCAAGATATTTAAACCTTAATAATTGTAGCTGACCCTGTCCTTTGACCTCTACCGGAGAAGAGAGATTTTCTTCCTCGGTATAAAATATAATTTTATATTTGTTTAACACTGACTTTTTTTTTTAAGTATTAGGTAACATTGTTTTCTGAATCGTGCTATTGCATAGAGATTAATAGCCCAGCAGCTTACATATTAAATTGCTGCCAATTATGCAAAGTACTCAAGAGGCCATTCATGGCTATTTGAGCTGGTGGTAGATAGACTGTGCTCAAACAAGAGGAGAAGATGAGGAGGAATCCACCAGTTCCTGCTGAGAAGTTGCTTTTTTAAGTTTTTTTTTTTGGTTTTTTTTGGTTTGTTGGAAGCACCATCAGATTTCTGTGCATCCAGCTAGACTTTGGCTAAATTCCCTTCATGCTTTACATCTGCCAGTATCATCATACATTATTAAGTTAATATCAGCACCAGCCAGAAAGACAATCAGGGTTTTGTCTTTCGCTACACTAAAAACGTTTGTTTGTGCCAGAGTTTCTGTAAAGGCGCTTCTTGTTTGTGACTCTGCTTTCCCTTTTCTCTTTTGCATCATGGTACATTTACCATCGCTGTGGGTGCTGCCTCTCCTCTCTTCACCTCCTTCCATCCGTCTCTCTCGCTCTGCCTCTTTCTTTTTATCCCTCCCTCCCTCCCTCTCTCTCTCTCTCTGGACACAGATTCAGAGCGTGATCTGATCTCCATGTAATGGGAGAGTAATAGGCACTCTGCCTTGATTGGTTGGTAATTTGGGGGAGTTATGCACAGGTGCAATTTGTAATATTTTCAGTAAATTAAATTTCTTTCTCTTCCTCTCTCTTCTCCCTCCCTCCACAGCGCTTAACTCAAATAGGCTATTTATTCTCACCCTGTCTCAAATCTCTGTCCTAACTTTCCCTTTCTTTCCCTTTTATTCAATGTTTTCTTCCCCTGCTCCTTTCTTTTCATTTTCTTTCTCTCCCCTCCCTTCCTCCTTAGCTCTTACACTCATTCTCTCTTCTCCTGGCTTGCTCTTTCTCTCCTCCTCTCACCCTCCCTTTCTGTCTCTCTCTTTTTCTCTCCTCGTTTTATTGATGTACGCTCAGGCGCCCATTAGAGCTCCCTTTTTCCCTCTAGTGGAAATTGCAGCATGTTAATTTTCACACAAATTACGGCAATAGCAGGTATCTCTATTTGATACATTATAGCGGGAGCAATCAGAGATAATTGAGTGCCTTTCAGAGGGAGACGGCTGCATTCACTGCCGGCTCAAAGCTGCCCCATTATCGCCTAATCGCTCTTTAAACACTGAATTTTGCCGAACAAAAATTCTTGTCATAATTTTGCTTAAGTGTATTTGGAAATCACAGTCCTTTGAGTGAGGATAATTGAAATCAAATCCCTTTCACTGGAGCTGACATTTCTACATTTCCCCCCAATTGAAATTAATTTCAAAAATTGAGCATGAATATCTTCAAATAGCAGGCAATTATGCCTTTCAATGGGGAGAAATTACCGGTGCTGAATCGTTGGAGGCTTGCGGGCGAGAGCACCAGTTAAATGCCTTTGTTTCCTGCCGTGTTTGCCTAGTAAAGATTTACATATATTGACTCATTATGGTGTCTTGTGAAGCTGATCGGCGTGACTACCACAACTGGCAATAATGCTCATCGCATCTAAAAAGCTCAAGAGTTTTAAAGCCTTGTGGCCTCACAGCTGAGGGAAAATGTATGTTTGTTTCTCTCCATCTCCCTCCCTTTTTCACTCCCTCTCTCTTTCTGCAGCTGCAGTTGTGTAAGGGCTTAGAGCTTCAGTTTTTACAACGCGTGTTTGCAGCTAAGCTGGAGCAGAGTATAGAGAAAAGTGTGTAATGCTGAGGCCTTGTTTGTGTCACCGCTGCTGCGATATTTTTCCTCTAAGCCATATCTATGTCAAGACATTGAATAGTTGTAGTCTTTCAGCAGCTTGCACACTTTCCATCCTCTATAAACTCTGTTGGGCCTGCTGCACTGTCTTTCCCCACAAACTCAGACATATTGTCTGACTGACTACCTTTTCATTAACTGCTTCAGTGGTGTACCTGAGCGACAGTATAGTACGCAAAAGTTCTTTGGAGGTCGGATGCATGTGTCTTTGTGTGTGTGCATGTGTGTCCCCTAAAAGGCTGAGACAGGTGTTTTTAAGACTCTGAAAAAGTCTTGAGTGCTCGTTTTATTGTGTGCACCGTTTTACACTTTTGCTCTGTGGTTTGGATCAATTTGTAAGATTTAGCCTCCTTTTCTTATTTCTTTTTTTCTTTATTCTATACATCCTGTCTCCTTGCTGTCTTTCTTCTCTCTCACACACACACACACACACACACACACACACACACACACACATCTCCCACTTCCTTTGAGCTTAACTGTGTTTGTGCATGTGTACATGCGCAGGGATGTGTATATATGTGTCGGGAGGGGGAGTCAGTTGGGGAAGGGGGAGTCAGTCGGGGAAGAGGGAGGCAAAGGAGCAAGGGGTACGAGGTGGGGGCTGGGGGGTCCTACGCTCCCGGGAGAGAGGCAATTTCACAGCTGGTTTGCTCCTTAGGCAGTCAGGCTGAAAATGCTGCAGATTTGTGGAGCAAATTGAAATGGTGTCAGAGCAGGAACAAAGCGCCGAGCTGCATGACGAGATAGGCGTGTGTGTGTGTGTGTGTGTTGCAGTGTGTGTGTTAGGGAGAGAGTGAGGTGGGGTTGAGGGGCTCTAAATTCAATAACAACCCTGTAACATTTTGGCCACGCCTTTCTGACACCTGTCAATCAATCAGTATGCAGTGACTGGCCCGCCCACAATCAGCATTATATTGTTTGAATGTGCTGCTCTGTGTTTGTGTGTTTGTGTGTTTGTGTGTGTGTGTGTGTGTGTGTGTGTATGTGTGTGTTTTATTTTCAAGAGGAAGAAGTGGTGTGCGGTGTTTGTGCCGACCGAGCTTTTCAACCTTGGCAACCGTAACCGAGGCTCCATTATGGGATGTGCATGGTTTGGTTGTTGACTAGACAGTGCATCAACGGTCAACAGCTGTGCGTGCCATGTGGGCAGCCATAGAAAGCCATTAAACACACACACATACACACACACACACTCATTCACCCACTCGCTCATATTCACACATCACATAGTTTACATTTAGTTGCATTAGATACTCTTGCCACTTGATTATGCCACAGCAGTAAAAACTGAAATTACAATTACGCACATTGCCGATTGGCAGGTATAATGGGCACACACAAGCTCTTCACTTCACTCACACACACACACGGATACTGACACACAGGAATTATCAGGGGATTCTTCCTGGTGGTAATAATAAAGCACTCGGCGCACACCTGATGGCAGTGTGGGGTCGGGGCTTAGCGTGCCCTCTCCAGCGTAGCAGGGAAATGACGAGCCAATAACTGCAATTAAACATGCAGTATAATGGCTAATCAAATTGACAGCCTCGGCTGTTCGCATGCCTCTCTCACAATGGCTTATCACAACAAACTATTATGAGGGAGGGTATTTCAGGCCCGATCCCCTCTTTTCTTTCTCTCTCTCTTCCTCACTGTCTGTGATTCTCTCTATCTCTCTCTTCTTTCTGTATCTTTACCCTTTTCTCTCTTTTGCTCTTTTTTCCTCTTTTTCCCTCCCACCACTGTCTTGCTCATCCTCTCCGTCTCTCTCTCTTCTCTCTCTCTCCCTCTGGCAGGCTGTCGTGTGGCTTCAGTTAATTGCAGTGGAGATTAACAAAGCAAGCAAATTTGTTTTCTTGCTTTACTGTGTCACACAGAGGAAGGGAGATGTTTTCAGGGAGATATAGTCCTACGAGTGGGGTGCACGTTCAGTCTACACGCTTCTCAAACTGATAAACCGGGTCTATTCATCAGTTTTTACGCCCTGTCATGATCTTCACTATGCTAAAATAATAGGAACTAATAACCTTCTTACACAATGAGGAAATAAAAGGGATGGTAGCAGTGTTGGTTTGTTAACTGTATCGAACAAGTGGTGACACATTGTGTGTGTTCCAAGTTTGAGCGAGTTTGAGGTGATAATAATGCTGCATTTATACAATCTCGGAACAAGAAAAGATTATTATCATTATTCTAACCTCAGGAAGGCTTCTCATGCATTGATTTTCATTATTATTAATTAGCCAAATATTTTCTCAATTAATTAGTTCATCCTTTTGTGTATAAAATGTGAGAAAAATGGCCTTCGCAGCTTCCCAAGGTTTAAGATGACACCTTCAGATGTCTTGTTTTGTCTCACCAACAGTCCAAAACACAAAGACTGCAGGTTACTGTCGATTAAGATTTAAAAAAGCAGCAATTTTTCATGTTTGAGAAGCTGGGCCCAGTACAAAGTTGAAGTTGATCAACCATTCAATTAAATGTGTAAACGTTGTACTTCTACATGCATTATTCCAATATGATTACCTCTCATTTCTAGCCTTGTAGTCACACCGAATAAATGGAATTTGAGCCTAAAACAGCTACTCTCCTTATGTAACATAGTTTTAGTTATTAACAAGTGAAAACAGGTACAAACAGTGTATAGCTTATTTTTAATTGGCTAAATCAGTGTTAATACCATATTTGATTAAGATGTGACTGTCTACGTTGGTTGTTTTGCCATTTTGCGACTGGTTTGTTGACGCCTCTGATAAGCCAGGTCGGTATCACTACCAATACTGAACTTATGAAGCGGATCAAGTTTTGGCCATGATGTAACCAATCCACACTGAATACAATTTCTTGGTTAACGTTATTATAAAATTCAGGATCTCTGCTATCATTTAATTTCCGTCAGTCACAGCAGGCCATCACCTCATGTTTTAAGTGCAACAGTGATCTCTGGCCTCATGTTACCTATAAAGATTATTCCAATGTATTTCATTCAGTGTGTTGAAGATGTCTTGGAATTCAGAAAACATTACCTTTGATTTGATATTACAACCAGGAAGCTGACGTTATTTTTCCCCACTCAGATGCTTAAATTTCTGGTCTAGGTGATGTGGCTTGAATGTTGCATTAGCAGAACATGAAAAGCACAGAAAAAGAAAGAAAGAAGGAGATAATGGGAAGGTGGGAGGGTAAGAGTGGGGACAAGGTTAGCTGTTTTACATTATATGAAATGTTTTTGCCATTATATTGATCAGAGTGTGTGGCAGGTTTGTTCGTCTCGTGTTTTCATTGAAGTAACACTGTTTGTGTTCTCTCTACAGTACTCCGAGAAGGCCCTGTACAACCAGCTCTGCTTCTATAGGTTCATCTTTGACTGGGACTACGCTATCGCCAAAGTACTACAGGGTGATGAGAAAAGTAAGACTACACGAACACATACATGTCACTTGTTACTGTACTGTTAGGTCTTGTTCCCAACTTTCAGAAGTCTTTTACTTCCGATTACAGCATTTATTTTTCTACATTTTGCGCAGCATTAGTTGTGAAATCAGGCCTGCATTTTTAAATCTTAAATTTCTCTTCTTTCTTTTTTTTTTTTTTTTTTTTTTTTGCTGTTTTTATTATTACATTGAAATACTGCCTTTGGGAATGAAATCAAGTTACCAGAACTACTATTGAAGTTTGAATTTTGATGTCCAAACAATGCTTCCTCACAAATACACATACAACATAGCATTAGCAATCAATGGCTCAACGTAAACCTTTTACCCAGGCTGCACTTACAATATTCACCAATGATGTGACACACATAACACACACACACCTACACACACACACACACAAAAGTAACCGAGTATGGGCATTGGATATGGGGAGGGGGGTTAAGGACATTCAGCTCCTCGAGTCGACAGCCCTAATTTGGGAGACGGATTCAATCACACACACATACAGAATGCAAAACGCTCCAATCACTGGAAGAAAGAAGGAAAGAGCCCTCCATCGCTCTCCCTCTACCCCTACCCTCACTGTCCATCTCTACTGCTTTCTCTCCTTTGCTCTCTCTTTCCTTTCTCTCTCTCCCTCTCCCTCTCTTGGACAGGCACTCGTTTGGCTGTGTTGATTGAAAACAGGTTTTAGATTTGGGGAAATGATAGGGGGAGTAATGGGCGCGCTGACGAAAGGATAGCCCTTCTCCTATAATGGGACATGGAGCGTATATTTCCCCCTTGGACTCAAATAGACGCTACTCCAGCGCTCTGGGCGCGCTCAGTAGGCGTCAGCCACAAGGCCTCTTTACCCATAGTTCTCCCTGATTGATGTCACTTGATTAGAAAGGGCCGCTGGGCCGAGTGATTTATTTATTTGATTAAATATTTATGTATGTATGTTATTTATGTATGTATGCCTGAATACTGTGAGTGTGTGTGCCAGGCTGGACCTGAGTGAGGCAGCAAAAGAATGAGACAGCAGAGGTAAATATAACATGTAATCAACAGATGACCACTCAGAAGATGGAGGGAGCTGAAATAGAGGGATTGGACCGGTGTAGAGGAGGGAGGGAAGGGAAGGAGTACTAACATGATTATAGCCTCCATTTTTGCTTTCTTTTATTTCTGTCTTTGCCCAGATGCAAGAAATCATCGCCAATCAATTCTTGACTCTCCTCCTTTCTTTATGTTGCTTTGCAGTGTTTTTGATCTGCTCTGCGCTTTCTCTTCCCGAGCTTCAGTTGTATTTTGTACCTCACAAAACGACACAGTACAGTATATTTGTTACTTTGTGGTAAAGCCCTGGAGATGTGTGCTCACAGTTTACCGTACAAACAGAAGGCCAAACATATAGTGCATACAACACGGATGAGGCAACATTACTGTAGATTGTGGTGGAGCAGTTTAGCATCTTGTCTCGCAGCCAGGAATCAGTCCAAAGACAGTGATAAGCTAAAAAGAAAGACGTTTCACATGTGCTGTCTTTACACTTCCTACTTCAAAATCAGACGCACTTCATATGCAAAGGGTTAACCTTGCAAACAATACTGTAGACCAGTGGTTCGCATTGATACACCTCAAAATATCACCTGTTTGACATGTTACAAGTTGCATATGTCTGTGAGCTTGGAGTGGTGAAGCCAATGAGTAATTTTGGCTTCCTAAATTGGTTGATTAACTAATTCTTACCTCCTGTACACTGTGACTGCTGGTTTATCATGTTTCATTCTGTACAACCTTCATCAGGCCTGAAGACGTCAAACTATTATTTCCCACTTAAAAAAAGTAAAGATTAGAGAAAAGTTCTGGGGTTCTCAAAAGTTGGTAACAACAACCCCCTGACACATAGTGAAACCTTTTGAGATTTCTGTCAATACACCCAATACAAGAGCTCATATCCCCATAGACATGCAGCAAACATTTCAGTTTGGGTTTATAATTACTACATATCTCTTTTTGTGCTGAAGTTAAACATCTGTGTGTTAAAGTTGGTGGTTCAGTTTTCTTCTTGAAATGGTAAGAAAAGTGTTATAAAGGGCTGTAAAGGATCACATATGAGGGGACACAGAACAGTTCTGGAGGGACTGGGCCACCCAGGAGCTGTGCATCATACAATGTCCGAACATCATAGTGTTTACTTGTTACTGGCTTTATTGCGCCTCCACAACCAAGTACTTTCCTGTGTTCTCTTAGCTGCCAGTCCATCAAATCACCCCCCTTCCTGTTGGAGGGTTTTCTAAACCAAAGCCCTCCGCTTTGCCCGAACGGTCCCCAAAATCTGTTTGAGAGGCAGAATATGTGGCTGCCTTCCGTCTGTAACACCCAGCACTGTTCCGCTACCGGTGGTGTGCAGCACCGCCCAGCACTCTACAGAGTTAACATTCACAACAAGTCTCCTGTTTTACTGTTTGGACTTGACTTGAGTAACAGTGACAGCCACAAGAATGTGGAGCGAAATCAGACAAGAGGAGTTTTCATTTAAATATATTTTCAGTATCAATAAGCAAATCATTTTTTAATAACAGACTTAATTAATTATATTGGTAGTTTGCATTAACTCACTGCTGTTGTTGCCGTTCTGTACATGCTGTCTTGAAGTTTACACTTAAACATAGTATAATGTCATGTTGATGATATAATGGAGGAAATAACCGCATGAGGCAACATTAGGTGTTTAGCTCATCAGAGCTCCACAAAACAACCATAACTGAACTGAAACACACATTACTCTTATTTTGATGATTATATTTACATAATTATGGCTGATAATGATATTGGCTGGTATGATTTCATACCAAGAGCGAGATATTTTCGCCCACAAATAAATAAATAAATAATGTTCTAGTTAATATAGTACTTGGAGGATTGCATTAGTGGTTTTTTTTTTTACCCAGCGAGGAGGTCACATTTACAGCAGATGTGTGTTTTCGGATAGACAGGTGTAGGTCACTGAGTTACTCAATGGTTTACATTGAATCACTGTATCTGTTTGGCTTATTTGTCTTGTAACACTGACAAACCAGTGTCTCCAGCAAATGATTAACACACACACACACACACACACACACACACACCACGGCTTTCCTCACATAGATAACAATACATGTATACACACACTCATGCTGCTATAAAGTATAGGTTTAAGGTGTTATCCCTTGGTCCTGGGGCAGTAATACCCCATATTACTGCATTACACACCCAGGGGGCACACTGCTCAGATTACAGGGAGGAGACATAGAATCCTATACACCCTACTCTACTCTGTTGTCTATGTCCACGCATAGACCGGTATCTCTGTGCGAGGGTGTGCATACCTATCGAGATTTACAACAGCGTCTTGGTTTCACCTGTGACCAGCAGAAGAGCTGGATAGACATTGTGTTAGTGGGGAGAAGTTTGAAACGCAACCACTTGAGCTCAGTAGTAGTTAACGTATGGAAGCTCTGGTCTTCTTATATGACTTTTGAGACAGGAACAGAAAAATGATTTGATCCCGCAAACAAGTATTGCCTGCCAAAGCCTGGTGTATCTTATTCCTCTGCCACACAGCTCCATAGTTGTCCGTAGACTATATATCAGTATCAGTATATATCAGTATATCAGTGAGCCACACTGTTGAACTGGGCGACTTGTTCCTCCGTTGCTGTGAACATTGTGACTCAATTTCATTCAACGTCCTGCTGCCAGAAATGCCTACCAACGCAACAAATGTGTATAAATCCACACCTGGAAATAGAAATAGTCCCCAACAGATTTACCATTTACTTACTTTAAAAAAAAAAAAAAAAGAAAAGAAAAAAAAATGAAAGTGACTTCAGTCCCACTCAAGTCTCCACCTTCACTGGCAGCCAAGACAGCGGCTCATAGTTGTTTGAACTGCTAGCTAAAGTTAGCTTAGCTAGGCTTCAACTGGTGCAGTCGAGGTGAGGAGTGACAGAATAGATGATATGAATGTCTACAAGCTTACCAGAAGTAGAAGTAGTATTTCTACAATTGCTACTCTCAGCAGCATGTTCTCAGTCTGGGGGGGGACACATAGTGAACAGAATCACTGGATTTTCTCTGGAAAAAGTACAATAACTTCTGCTGCAACAAACACTAGAAAATAGGACCAGAATCATTAGATAGTAAATAATAAATATGTAATTTAGTAACTCAAAAGGTGGATTCAGTCAGATGACACTCTTATTAAAGATTTAAGTCTTCAGTTGGAATGAATGAGCTTGAGACTGAGAGCGACTCAGAGGAGAGGAAGATTGGAAAATATCGAGAGACGAAATAACATGTTGGTTTTGGTTTATTGTCAATAGAAAACAAAGAATATCACCAGCCTTATGTTGGCATTTACTGCTGTTTACTAAACCCTTGGGCGAAAGTGTATCTTGATATTCTACAATACTTCTGTCATTTATTTTTGATGATATCTGGTTATTTATGTTTCACTCAGCCATTCACAATGTGTATGTTTACATGTGTGCTGCACATCCACAATAAAGCACATTAAAGTAAAATAGCTTCACATAAAAGAGCTCTGAGTCAAAGCTGAATGTAATTTGATCAGCTTAACTGTGTGTGTGTTTGTGTGTGTGAGCGCACATTTGCAAGTGTGCGCCTGTCTTATCTACATGTACATTGCATTTTTGTGCCTGATTGCTGCGACTAAGTAAAACATGGAGGTAATTTCATCCGCTGCAGGAGATCTCTAATAGATTATACACGCACACACACAGAGGCGCGCACACACACTGGAAAAAAAAAACATGCTGTCCGTCCCTTAGCTGGGAACATCCCGTATCAATGACTTTCAAATCATTTCATGTCACTTTTCCTCTCCCTGTATCTCCCCTGCTCTCCGTTTTTTATCTCCCCCTCCCTCCCTTCTTCAATCTATCTGTTGCCTTTCTCTTCCCTCCATCACTCCTCCCCTCCAGGTCTCAATCTTGAGTGTGGGCAGTATGATTGCGTGTGTGAGCAATAATGTAATTTTGCTGCATTGATAAAATATAAATTGTCCTTGAGCTGCGCTTTTCTAATGATCCATTTACCGACAGCTTCCCCGCCACCTCTCAGCGCTCTGCATTTGGTCCTCTTCTACTCTTCCACTCCTCTTCCTCTCACTCTGTCTCTATCTTCTTTCTCTTCTCCTCCCTTCCCTCTCCATTTTCTCCCCTCTCTCGCGCTCACTCTCTTCATCTTCCACGCTCCCCTCCCTTTCTCCGGCGATACAAAGCGGGGTGGCAAAATCCGCGGGTGCGATTGTCAAATCAATTATTCATTCTGTGCAATTACACTCACACAAAGAAGTTTCCCTGTGCTCCGAGTGGTGATTAAATTAACTGCTATTCCAGCTGCCCGTCGCCACCAGCCTAATAGAATATTCATGGAGGCGGCCGACGGAATGGCCGATCTCCATTAACTTCATCATGCTCACTTAATTACAGGCTTGTTATTGTATTTACACCTAGTTAGAGCGTGCAGAGCCCCGATCTACTCGTGCCCAGCACCGCCAGAGTGTGCATGAGTGTGTGACAACACCTAGTTAGAGCAAAGATAACCCCTGATACACTCACTGTGCGCGTGTGTGTGCTGGAGTCCATGTGTATGTGTGTGTGTGTGACAGTGAGATAGATGGTATCGACACTGACAAATTTCAATCCGATGCTATTAATTATGCAAAGTTTTCAGCATCTAAAGCTGCATTTTTCTCCACAGTATGCTTTCTATCAACATGGCATTTTCCATCTTCCATTCTAGTCCGCATCTCTTTCTTGCCATTTCCACTCCTCTCCGCTTTCCTTCATGTCTCGGCCTTCCCAACAACGCCGTCTACCCTTCTCCTTCTGCCTCACACTCGCTCTTTAAGGGAGGCTATTTATTTGAACTGCACTCCCCACTGTGCTCCGACTTGCAGCAAGGTCTCTCCCTCTTTCTTTTCCTCTCTGTGACTCTTAAATCATTCTTTTATCTGTTCGCCACACAGTGATTGAGGTGGAAAAGAGAAAGGAGTGAGGAACGAGAAGAGGGGAGGGGGGGGGAATTATTTTCTCCTACCTTTCAGAAATGATGACATGATTGCTTTCGCTTGATCATGCATCATCACCCCCTTCTATTCCCCAGATAAATAGACTAGTTTGTCTCTCCCTGCCTCTCGTCTCCCCTTTTCTTCCTCCATCCCTGTCCTTGCTAACATGAGGATTATCTGGTAATAGTTGCTGCTGGCGTTTAAGTCAACCACACCATCTTCCATGCGTGTGTGCATGCATGTGTGATTACTGTTTGTCACTTGGATGTTTTTTAGTCGCCATGACTGTGAGTTGGTGTGCTTTTTAAGTGTTTAACTACCATCAATTGTCTGTGTGTGTCTGTGTCTGTGTGTCTCACACTGTTGATCTCTGTGTATCTAACCTTTGTTCCCTTGGGCAGTCAGTGGGCTGGTATTTATCCAGCAGCCACTAATGTAGTGGGCAGGAAGGACGAGACAGGAGATAGGGCTGTGGAGATGGCGAGGACATGACAACCGGCCATATGGACTGTGTGTGTGTGTGTGTGTGTGTGTGTGTGTGTGTGTGTGCGTGTGCGTGTGTGTGTGCGTGCGCGCGCGCTCATGTCTTTGTACACAGCATGTCATCTAGATAAATTACAGACATGCTCACATATAGAAGTCAGTATAGCTAGAACTTGTCTTCTGAAAACATCTTTTACAGATGATGACTGTTACTTTTAGTGTTATTGCTGATGTTCAGGGTTTGGATTACTGCTGAAACAATTGGTTCATTAATTGATTAGTTAATGCGCAAAAACTTAATCACCACCAATTTTGACAACTGATTCATTAGTTAGTCATTCATCAAGCAGGAATACCAAACATTCCCTTGTTCCCTCTTTTTAAATGAGAGGATTTGATTTAAAAAAAAACATCCCTCATAGACAATTTGTTTTGTGCAGACAACGGACCAGAAGCTAAACATCTTCACTTTATTTACGTTGACCAGAAGTATTCAGGAATCTGAAGCAATAACAATGAGTTTTTGGCATTTACAATGATTGTTCTGTCAGTTGACTAATTCATTAATTGACTAATTGTTTTAGCTCTAGTTGCAGTTTTAACTGGCTATAAGCATCATTTTTGTGGCCAATAGTCATTTGTCAAATTCTTTTAAACAATACATTTTATTTTTTTAACATGCTTGAAAATTTTTCGTTTGTAGTTTTTTAAATTTTCTACAGTACAGGTTCTTCCACTTCAGAAAGTTTTTAAGACCGAAAAGCTGCACTTTTACAAACAGCAGTTACGATACATGTGAACATAACCACAGGAAAATGTTTTACTCTTGATCCATCCATTGGAATTTAAATTCCCTCTTACATGATCATTTGTGCACATTGTGCTTTTCTGATGCTTTTGTTTTGATTGAGCCTGATGTGTCTATGCACTTGATGTATTAATTCTGTTTACAATCAGAAGAGCTTATTGGACTTAATTCCCTGCTGATACTGTGATTGGTGGGTTTTTCCCTGGGCTGGGTTTACATATATATTATACTGATGCTGTTTGTCTGTACAAATTTTAACAGATGAACATCTGTGGCTGAAATCTCATAAATCAAGATAATACAGGTGATCAACAATGTGTGAGATTTTTTTGGCTCATTGTTTTTTATTATAAAAGATAGAAAAACACAGTTTATGATCTGTATGAGTGAGAATGAATATTGCTGTAAAATCAAATCAATACCAAACAGAACTTTCTCAAGCTCATTTCCATCTCCCTGCTTCTTCACCAGCGTCTGCTCCAGTCATCTCACTATTATTCCAGATGTAGCTTGCTGCACTCTTTGGTTTGATAGTGTGTTATTACTTGGTTTCATGATACTTCATCCACACTTGACGCTCAGTATAATATTGTAAAGATTTGATTTTGGTGGCCACCCAGCCCAGGATAGTCAGCTCTCTGTCTTCTGTCTGGCTTTATTACGGCCCACCTGAAGGGATAACAGGGACATGATATTGACTCCATGCTCTCGTTGGGCTTTTCTATCGATCTTATGATCCTGTGTGTGCGCGCACGTGTCGCCATCGACCCATCAGTCCAATTCTGTGTGATCCCCCTGCCGGCCCTCAAAGTGATAGCAATGCTGACAGATAGCATTAGATCTGTTTGCTCTCCAGTTAAGGGTGATATGCTCCTCAGTGTTTATTAGTGACAAGACAAAGGTGGTGGGCACTCTGCTCCTCTTACAGTTGGTTTCAGCAGAAGCCAATCATAGGGGTGGAGGGGGGTGAGAGTCATCCAGGAGGGAATCGCTAATGGACATGTCGCTGTAGCCTGTAGTATTGACTTTGATGCAGTTGAGGAGCTGAATGATCTTCCACTGAGCTCCGACAATGATAACTCTTCGTTCCTTTCTTCTCCTCCAGGTTATGTAAACGGGTTGTCCAAGACAAGGGAGGTGTATCAGAAGCTGAAGGAAGTGCCGGACAAAGCCTTGGCCACCAGTGGCTACTCGGAGATTAACCTGGCCAAACTCTTCCAGGCCTTCTCCTCCCTCAAGTAAAATAACACACACACGTCTGAGAAGGCACCCCCACTAAGAGGCTTCAACGTCAGACTCAAAGCTGGAGATTTGAAAATTCAACCACATCTTTTCCTGTTTTTGGTTTCTGAACATAGCAGCGTGGATGATTTCGGACTTTGACCTCCTGACCTCCTTATCACCCTCCCTAAACCTAATGGACTCATCTTAAAATCCAGTCACTTCTTTCTCCTCCTCCAGTTTCTTCACATAGACACTCTGTTCTCTCACACACACACACACACACACACACACACCCTCTTAAGGCGTGACCCCATCACCCTGACTCTGTATGGTAAAGGGGAGTAGCAATCATACCTAAATGACAGTCTATTGTGTGTGTATGGAGGCTAGCTGTGCTCAGATGTGTGTGTGTGTATGTGAGTGTGTGTAAAAATGACTTATCTTCAGAGCAGCCAGCATACTCCAAAAGCTAATTAGCCAATGATAGTGACCCCAGCCACTAAGACCACTGGATGCCTGCAGCGATCGGACACTTGTTCTGATTACCACCATTCATCCCGAGTGTGTGTGTGTGTGTGTGTGTGTGTGTGTGTGTGTGTGTGTGTGTGTGTGTGTGTGTGTGTGTGTGTGTGTGTGTGTGTGTGTGTGTGTGTGTGTGTGTGTGTGAGTGTGTGTGAGATCAGACGATGAAAGAAAGAAGTAAGGAGGATACAGGGAGTGACAGGGTGAAGGAGGCCACACGTGCTGCTCCCTCGCTCTTTTGTCTCCGTATCGAACAGCTGATCTCCTTCTCCTCCACCGCCTCTGTTTAACTGATGCCATTTCATCCATTTCACTCCCTTTTTCTTCAGCCCTCCCTCCTCTGTGCCGATTGTGTTTTAATGTGTGTAATTTTCCACATATCCAACTTGTATTGCTCAGGAGGGTTTATGTAATGATTTTTTTTGTAATGACTAGAATATTTCATGTTGGATATTTTGTTATTGATGAGAACCTTTTTGATACTAAAATCTCAATAAAAAGCTAAATGGATAAGATGTTAATCTTGTCATTTGCAGTGGGGGGGGGGGTGACAGAAATGGGTGATGGATATCCTGTAACGTCTCCGTGTTTCCTGTGTTACTGTAACACACTGTAATACAGTAAACATGACATGAAAGTGACATTTAGGGCCTAAAAATGAAAATGAGAAGAATCAACAAAATATCCCCATTATGTAGAATTGGGGCATCTTCAGCTTCATTTATAAACATATTTAAACAATATTTCTTATTGTTAATAAATCTCATGAAAAGACCAAAAGCTACAGTGAATTGATCCTGCTAACGGCTACTGTCTGTATGCAGCAGTCCTCTGTATTATAGAGCTTCACTGTTGTCCAAAAACTATGAAAAACACATCAGTGATCCTCTCTGTTGCACTTGGTGACATTTTCCTTCATTACCATAAACAAGGGGCACTGTAAATTATTTAAAGTTAAACCACATACTGTAAATGCTTGCTAATGCACCAAATGTGTATGAATCCACAACTGAAAATAGTCCCCAACAAATTCACCATGTATTCTTGTTTGAGTAATGTTTGCTAAAAACTACAGTGCCCAGCTGCTTTGAGAAATTACTGAGCTTTTTTTAAAAATTATTTTAACAAAACTACGTGACCTGTTTATGTGGATTTACATCGTTTTGTGTAGCGTATAGGCTCGGCTGACACATCATTGGTTTAAGTCCTTAAATGGGATTTGTTTGCACTAAGAAAAATAGAAGCTGTCACCGGCTTTGTCCTTTCAAATTACATTATTAATTACAACATTTTGGGGAGTTTTGCCTTACTAATGAGAGATTTCAGTGATTTCTGAATAGGAGTCAATGATATAGATAAAATCCTTTTTTATGGTATATTTAACTATATAAAATATAATCAGGTTGTAGTGCATTTTGTGGGGGGAAAAAATTGAGAAAAATTAGTAGAGAAGAAAATTCAGACAGGAATGTCTGCTTTTGGCTAATCTAGAGAATTAAATACCTGTTAGATTAAGGCGCCTCTTTACATTCATGCCAGATCATGTAAAAATCCAGTATTGCCGTAAAACTCCTGCTCACTGATATTAGAAGGGTAACGGTAAGGCGAGGTAAATGTATATTGTCTCATGGTAGAGTATATATTGTCATATTGCGCTACACTTTGAGTTCTGTATGTATTTCCTCTGCTGGAGTCAAAGTTCAGTCTGTAACTTGCTTGTTTCACCGTTTTCCTCCAAGAATTCTCATTTGTGTTAATACAGTCAAGGGATTTTTTACTCCATCCTGCGGTGTGCATTTCCATAAACACTGCACGCCTCACAAATCACTTCAAACCACTGTGACTTGTGAAGGCAACCTTAAGTGGGCTGAACACTTAAACCATGATTCACTATGCAATGGATAGAACGGGCTGTGTGTGAGAGAAAGTGTCTGAGCGCATTTACAGCCTATTGCTCATAACTTTACATATTTATTAAATCATATCAGCTCAACTACTTCTCCCACAGTTGCTTAGCCTGTTTTTTTTTTTTAACTCTGTATTTTCCTTAGACTTAATCAACCTCAACTCACAGGAGATGTGCACTGTAGGCCTGCTATTCCCACTATCCAGGCTGCAGGTTTTTAAGTGAAGGCCCCGTTTTGTCCCCTCAGTTTGGAGTAAACCCAGTCAAATTGAGTCCCTGCATTAATTCGACCCTGCTAAGCTAATAAGGTCGAACAAGTCTCTTTGTATTGTCGTGTTAAGCTTTATTGCTTGTCGTTTTGACCAGCGATGGACAAGGTAGGCTTTGATGAGGGAATTAGTCCCCTATTCTGTCCCTGTTATTCATAGCGCGGTGGAACATACAAGCACCAGAGAGGGTGTCAAAAGGAGAGCTGGTCCTATTGCAAAGTGTCTCCCTTGTTGGAGCTGAAAGGGCGTTATGAGACGATAAACCGCTTAATACACTGAGCTAATTGGATGAGAGCAAGAGAGACGGGGAATTAAGGGGCGATCCGAGAGGGGAGCGGAGTGCCATGGCCCTGCTATTCAGGTCTTTCATCGGGGCCGCGGTTCTCCGCCTGGGAGGAGGAGGAGGAGGAGGGAGGGAGGGGGAGTGGTGGTGGTGGTGGTGGTGGTGGGGGGGGGGTGCTGTTCATCAAAGCGCCTTTTAGAGCTCCTCTCCCGGGGACTGAGTGAGGACTGATCCGGCTGAGGCTGTGGAGTGATTGGGCCTATTCTCTCAGGCAGGGACGTGGTGGGAGAAACGAGGCCAGGTAGAATCCAAATCACGGTCCAAATCAAACCCAAGAGCAGGGGGAAGGAAAGGGAGAATAGGGGAATGGCGGCGATGAAAATGGGCACAAGTCAGTGGGAAGACATTTTCTGGACACCTGGGTTAACCTGTGAGAGGCGGGCGGGGGCATTAAGGCCCAGTGTATTGACACATTGAGCCAAATCATGTAGGATTTTTTCTTTTTTTTTGCAGCCAATTTGCAAGGAAATGCGGTGTGATTGGACTGTATTGACCCTTTTTATATCAACATTCATTATGATGATCATTCATGGAGCCTCATGGCCTACGTAAGTACAGGCCTGTCTGGAATGAAAGAACACACATCCAACAAGTGTGACTTTATAAATCCAGAGCTATTGCCCCGCTACAGCATTTCAATTTTCTCGCCTTTTTGCGCTGCAAAGAAAGTTTAAGCCTTGCTCCCAGCAGGTCACCCGCCTCCCGGCATTCCCCAGATATTAGGGACAAATTGGTTTGCCATTCATTAGTTATATTCACAATAAGATTAAAACTCCCCGGACAATCTCATCAAAACCCTATAGGGCCATAAAGGAAAAAAAACACACACGCTCCACTGAGCTTGAGCAAAAGAATAGGAATTTTAAAAAACATGGTAGATGGTGGTCTGTGCGCAGGAGAAAATTGGTTTTTATCTTTTCTTTCCCCCCCTCCTCCTCCTCCTTTTTTGCATTATGCTCCAAAGAGCAGCTGGGTGACTTTGTATGAGGTTGAGCGTGCGTGCGTGCGTTCATGCGTGCGCGCGCTCGCGCGCGCGTGTGTTAGGTTAAATTCATGTACAGATATAGCATCTCTCCATCCGTCCCTTATCGGATCTAATTCCATGCGTGTTTAGAGTAAATTGAATGATTAACAGGTATAGGACCTGCAGATCTATAAAACAAGAGCGCCGAAGGAATAAGAAAAGGGTGTTCACAGATGCAGACAATAAAAAGAGGGACTACATTAATCCGCGGGGTAATTTCACGCGATTTGGTCGGGTACCATAGATGGGTCAAACGGAGGAGAATAACCATTGATTGCTGTAATGGTCCTGCATCAGTAGTAAGATCCAAAGGGGGGAGGGGGGGGGGGATTTGGGGGAATTAACTCTACGAGGTGTGTGTGTGTGTGAAAGCCGTTTGATGAAGTGGTTTGTTACTTCATTAATGACAAAGGGGACTCGCTTCCATCGACACTGCATTACAGATGTTAAGACCAATTTAGCGCCTTTAAAGGGTTTTAAAGGAAGTTTTGTGACGCCCCCCCCCCCCACACACACACACACACACACACACACACATAAAGTGGGCGATCTAATTGAAAACCCCTCGCCTTTGTCGCGCGTTTCACATGTTGGGGATTAAGCTCATGAATATATGGTCAGTATTTTGTCAACTCCGCTGAAGAGGACAGACGCACGCAGCGCACTGGATTATGCACCTAATACATTCTCTCTTATTCAGGTGGAGCAGTGCGCCTACATCTCTGCTCTCTGCGGCGATAAATTTCTCATTGGAATTTTTTTTTTTTATCCTTCTAAGCTGGTCTGCAGGTATTCTGAACACCAATCTGTTACTGAGGGTGGATGGATATTTATTTCACATTCCAGCTTTCAATAACCCTCAAATGATTTATAATAGATTTAAAAAAAAAAAAACAACTCCCATAAATTGTGCTTTCCTTAAGAATTTGTGTTTTGCAAAATTATTCTTCAATGTAAGACAAAAAAACACAATTTCTTCATAACACCTTTTATTAATATTTCTATAATATTCTATTTCACATTGTTTATTTTTCCTGGTTTAGGCCTATGTCAGTCTTAAAGGAATTTGAAATAATAAAAGATAACTCATTTTACCAATGTAATTTATTCAAATTAGCATTATTAAACCAGGAAACTTACAAGCACTTAATAAGAAAAAAACTGTCCTTCACTCAGTTCCTCGGGGAAAAGTTTTGACATAAATAATTATCTAAAAACCTAATAATTCATAAACACAGGTGAAATTCTACACAGGGCGACATTCATTAAACACTACACCGAGTGCAAATCATCAAAACACGGTCTCCTGAAATATACACGACCTTGTTTTGAAAATCATCCTTTTTTTCTTCTACGCCCCCCCCCCCCTTTTTTTTTTTTTTTTTTTTTACACAATATGTACAATTTTCTTTCACACCGTCACGTCATTAGAGAAACATCTCAGGTCTCAACTTTGCTCGCGTGTCCTGGAGTCAGACTCAGCGGAGATGCCACTGCTGTGGTAACCAAAGGTGTGTGTGTCGAGGGGGTGTGATTTGCCGCTGACGTGGTTTTAAAAGACCATAAGTAACTCCGGTTTGATTCGGAGATTAAAAATACATAGGTGCGGCTGAGTGTTTCTGCTGGACAGGCGAGCAGCGTGGAGAGGTCAGGCTTGTAGAGAAGGCTATGGAAGGTCTATGGACAGGTTTCCTTTGGTTCTGGGGGCGCGGGGGTGGGGGGGGGGGGCCTCCTCCAACTCGCCTTTATTACAGACGCAGACTGGCGCAGCCCACATCAATGCATACAGATGAAGCAGTGTTAATGTCGAGCACTCGGGTTGTCCACATTTGAAGTAGCACAAGAATCCTTTCTAAAAGTCTGGGTTCCCCTGCGGTTCTTCAGCTCTGTATGCGTGCATGTTTGTGTGTGTGTATGTGTGTGTGTGTGTGTATGCGCGCGCGCGCGCGTGTGACACATAAGTAAAAGCAACCAAACCCCTCTGTAAAATACTCTGCTACAAGTAGTACTGTTTTTAGATTGCTGCCGGTACAGAAGTATTATGTAGGCCTATATATACATATACATATACACACACACATATATATATATATATAACTTATATTATTTTAACTTATAAACTTAAACTTTAAGTATAAAAAGTTTGGCAGTGAATACAGAAAATGGCCCCTGTGAGAGTTATAATACTGAAGTATTATTCCTAAGGCATTATTGTGTGAGTAGCAGGTTGTTGTAGCTGGTTGAGATGGATCTAATTTTTTCCATACTGTTAGGTAGTTCCATCTATAACAATGCTTCATATTTTGTAAGATCAGCAGATATTTTAGATATCTGAATTAAATCATTTGTAAAGTAATGTAGTGGATTTAAAAGTACATCGTTTTTCTCTGTAGTGAAGTATAAGTCTAAAGTGGAAACAAATGGAAATACTAGAGTAAAGTACAAGTACTTCAAATTTAAAGTACAGAACTCAATGTACATTGTTACATTCCTTCACTGGCGATATGTGTGCTTTGTACTGTCTATATACTATGTAAAAGTATACATTATACCTGAAGTGATGATACAGAACGTAATTTTAAGTTTAATTTATTGATAAAATCTCAAGAAATATTGAAAAGAATTTAATTTTCTAAGCTTAAAATGCTGTTATTGTTGTTTAAACAATGAAGCGTGAAACAATGTTACAATAGCTGTAATTATTATACACACACACACAAACACACACTTTTTTTTAGCTAGTGCTCTTTTGAATTTGGTCGTGCTATTTTGTTGGGGAAACATGAGGTAACAGGGATGGTTGAACACGGGACATCAGGTCATCAGCCTCCAGAGGTATGAATGGGTTTTTGGACGTGGGACAGGGGTGTCATGGAATGGGACGTAAGCCCGGGACAAGGGGGGCCTAGAGCTGGTGTTGAGTGTTCAGCACACCTCCTTCCCTGCGGCTCCGGTGGGCAGGATGTTAAGCTGGGTGAGCTGAGCCGAGTGTTCCTTCGCCTTGAGGCGCAGCGCGGCGATACTGGAGGCCCTGCGGTCTGCTGCAGCTGAGGAAGAGGAGGTGGAGGAAGAAGCGGAAGGGTCAGGGAGGACAGGCCCTGCGTGGGAGGGGTTCTCTACAGGAGGAGCAGGCTGACGGAGAAGAGCTGCAGCGGTGGAAGCACTGGTCAGGGGACCCATACTGGAGAAGAGCCTGAAAGAAGACAGAAATGTGACCATCTACAACACTGATGGATGCTAAACATGTTTTCACGGTAAAATTATTCATTACAAGATAACAAAAGTCTTATTTTTCAAACTAATCGTGCCTTATAACCTCTTTCTCCTCACATTACTCAGCGGCGTTTACTCAAAATACTGTTTGTGTAACAGCAGTATAAAGGGAAACCATTGCCTGTAAATGTGCCTCAGATGTGTTTTATTTCCTCTTAGGTTTCTCAGGTTGTCTTAAAATGATCCTTAACTAGATTTATGTCATTTATTGCATGCTGGCTTCCCTAATATGAAAGACTACATGGAGAGTACAAGGTTAATAATGCTGTATAATAGAGAGAAGGGAGCTAATTGTGGCATATGGCGTGTGCAGTGCCACCCCTCCTCACAGCTTGTCTGACAGGATCACACGTTTGGTTAATTTATTAAGGCATTTGACAGAGTGATTACACACCACTGTGAGTGGTTAAAAGTATAACATATTTATATCAGACACTTAGATAAACAGTAATGCAGTGTGACTGAGGATTACTGTAACCATCAGTCATTAGAGTTGCATGAAGTGTTGGGAGTTTATTTTAAGCTCGGTTGCGGATGTGCATTGTTCTGTACATGTGCTTGACTACAAAATTGTAGTCATTTACTGTAAATACAGGGATAAATGTGATGTCCTACAAGTACAATGATTGTTGGGCTCTGAATAGTAGACATCAGGTCCAAGGGAGGTCTGTGTATGGGTGCAGCTTACCTGCCAAAAGTGGGTCCAATGAAGGCAGGGTGGCGAAACATGGCAGCCGTGCCCAGAAAAGTGCCCAGGCCGAGCGGGGTGGCCAGGGGTGGAGCAGAGCCATTGTGAGGCGGTGGGGCCAGGCCTGGGAAGGCCGCCGCTGCGGCTGCGGCAGCCGTCCAGGCAGACTCCAGGGCTGGGTGTGGGTGGGGAGGGAAGGGACCTCCCTCCAGGTAGTGGCTGAGAGGGTGGCCAGCCGCAAGGGGGCCTGGGAACGGCAGGCCTGACGGGTGGGCCTGCACCCCGGCCTTCTCGCGCTTCCTCCACTTGGCCCTGCGGTTCTGAAACCACACCTGAGGGCAGAGATGAAGATACAGATTAGTATGAGAAGGTTTTGAGAAGATGACAAAGGCAGTAGAACATAAATCTTGGTTCTAATAAGTCAAATACTGATCAAAGTGATAAAAGAAACAGGAAAGAAGTCTAAAAAATTTTTTTTTTTTACAATAAATACATAAATAGGCAATTTCCCCTACACAAAGAGGCATTTCCTCCTGTCTGAACAGATGCTTACAAGCAAAGCTCAAGACTGTTCAGTTATGCAGCTTATACACATTTAAAACTAGGCTGTAGCTCCCTGCCCTGCTAACATGACAGCAATGTGTCATTGTATAGTTAACCAGACCAGACTCTATTCAGTGTTGTGTCAGTGTTCTCTAATAGTTGTCTAGTTCAGGTGGTGGCCAACAGGCGGAAAGTCAGGGTGAAATAACTATAGAGATAAACTGCGTCAGGGTATTAAATACTTATTGTTTTAACCCCCCCCCCCCGTCCGTGTAGACGGGCTGCTGGGTGGGGAGAGATAATTAAGAGCGGTGTTAACAAAAGATCCAGAAAATTACCGCTGAACTGGCTCCAATAACAATTAATGCGCTTTAAATTAAATTCTTAAGAGATGTAGAACAAGTGACTTCCATCCAAGAGAGTATTTAACTTTCCCACGCATCCACTGTTGCCCAGTTTGCACTGCAGAAGCACGGGGCTCTCACAATGAGCAAAATGTCAACATGAGCAAAGTGATTGAACGAACCAGCTTGAGCGACAGGGACTACACACACACACACACACACACACACACACACACACATTATTCCCAGAGGGCTGTTTAGCATTACACAGCCCCTCGGGAATTTATGAGTTTTTATCACCTCCTGATGGCGCCCGTTAAGTGATTTGTTCACCTACGGCCCCTAAAGAGACATCTGTTGTTTTACCGTCGGCCATAACCTCTCCGAGCTTCCACCGTGTTTGAACTGTCTCTCTGGTTATGAGCCCGGGCTTTCGACATGCAAGCCACGCTTTCAGTGTAAGGCGAAGGAGAGGGAGGGATGGAGAGAGCAGGATGGAGGGGTGGGGGTGGGGGGGTGTCCGAGCTTCCACCGTGTTTGAACTGTCTCTCTGGTTATGAGCCCGGGCTTTCGACATGCAAGCCACGCTTTCAGTGTAAGGCGAAGGAGAGGGAGGGATGGAGAGAGCAGGATGGAGGGGTGGGGGGGGTAGCGGGGAGCAAACACCTTTAATGGTCTGTCATTCGCTCCCAAGTGCAAAGCATCGGATCAATGCAGGTCTATTGCAATCACATAATGGGAAATCAAATAGCATTATCCCTCCCCTCTTTCTCTCCCTCCCTCCCCCTCCCCCTCCCTTCCTCCTCTCTCTTATTCCCACACACATCTTTTTACTCACACACACACACACACACACACCTCGGCCTCGCCCCCTCTCTGTCCCCTCTGATGGGAATTCAAACACCGTCTCATCCCAGGAATATAGACAGTGTTTGCTCCAGCACTAAGTGAGCTTTTTATGAATCACCAGCGTCGGCTTAATTGCCACTAAAACGTCCCCGTTCGCGTGTAATAACATTCAATAACAGGAAAGACCTTCCCTGCGCAGCGACTGGGGCCATTTAACACATTTTTACTGTAATAAATTACTGCCTCAAATTGGCCAGTAATCGTTGATCCTCAATCAGTGACGCATATCACCGGCTATTATCCAGCGCTGTGTACCAGGGACATTTTATAGAGGACATAAAACATTAGAGGATGCTGCTTTTCCCTATTTGATTTACAAGTCACAGGCTTCTCTTTCCAGATAAAGATAAACAGAGAGACACTTACTTGAACACGGGCCTCGGTAAGATCCAGGCGCATTGCGAGCTCCTCTCTGAAAAGAATTTAAAAAAAAAAAAAGAAAGAAAGAAAGAAAGAGGAAGGGAGAAAAGGCAGAGAGACAGAAAGAAAAGATTCAAGGTTATAGGCCACCGTTAGGAAGCAACGTAGAATTGCTGTTTTGTCCCCTCCTGTTGTTCACTGTCAACAAAAGACGACCAAAATACGCTTGTTTCTTTTTTCCTCCTCCCTGGCATGCAGAAAGACGCCATAGCCATATTCTATTTTCCCTGTCACGAATGGGTAGAAATAGGCCTAGTGATTGTTAGATTTTCCTTAGCCCAGGCCTGTCACTGTAACAACATAATGGTTGAAATAATGACATCTAAACTAGCCTGCCACAAAGCAATTGACGCTCCCTTCAGCTGCAAGATGGGCTTGCAGTGCAAATTAGACCTACAAGTCGTCTTAAAGTAAATCGATTGGAAAATATGAATAATCCCAATGGTTAAAAAAAGGAGAATAAAACCGAAAATGTAGGTTCTTGTGTCCTGTAGTATCTGAAAAGCGTTTATTATCAAGCATTAAACGCGGGTTTGCGTCAGAAAATAGCTCTAAAATTTTATTCATAAGTGAGTTTATTTTGTTTTTATGCCCTGCTGCATAAAAGTCCTAATAAGGTATTTTTCTAAAACAATTCTACAACATAAAACCCCCAGAAAATCCATATTATGATGCCCTGCAGTTCAGTGTGTGTGTGTGTGTGTGTGTGTATGTGTGTGTGGTTTGTGTGTTTGCGTGTGTGTTTGCGCGAATACACCTGCCCTTGGGCTTGAGGTTATAGGCCCTGACTGTATTTTGTGTTTTTTTGCAGCCTGTATTCAGTATCACGTCCAGCAGCTAACCTGAGCTACACCGGGTAATTATTCTTCCTGAGAATAATACCGCTGTCATCTGCATCAACAATAGCGGATACAGGTAACAAAATGTCCCCAATGTGTTAGCACTTACAGGCCTATTGTGTTCACTTATGCAAGGCACGGGTTTGGTGTTGGGGCATTTTTATGAGGTGTGATCCGCACATGCCCTGTTAAAGACGTGTGGAATTTGTTTATTTAAAAATAAATGCAATTAATTATCACATTCAATGCATGGAATTATTGGAGCAATTTATTAATCCTCCCTAATAAAATTATTAGAGCAAGGATGCACGTTTTTTTGGGGGTGTTTGTTTTAAACACAGCCAACTGTAGTAATAATAATAATGATGATAACAATAAAAATAATAAATTCTTATGACACATTATCATTATAGACTATAGTAATCTACGTTTTGTGTGCATTTAAATTAAAATGTAGGGTATACACCTACAAATTTGGGTTTTAATTTGTAAACGTATAGGCTATGCAAGAAAACAATAATAATAATAATAATAATAATAATAATGATGATTATAATAATAATAATAATAATAATAATTTCAGTACAGTAAAAAATTTTGGATGTAAAAACAAAATTTTTCCAGTCTTAAAATTGTCTGATTTTCTTACCTGGTGAAGACGTCGGGGTAGTGTGTCTTCTGGAAAGCCCTCTCCAGCTCCTCCAGCTGGTAACTGGTGAACGTAGTCCTGTATCTTCTCTGCTTCCGTTTCAGCATCCCTTCCTCCGAGTCACTGCCCGCAGACAGACACACGCTGTCCTCCCCGTCCCTCACGTCCCCATCCCCGGCGTTCAAGCTCTCCCTCTCTTCGTCCTTCGGGGACAGCGCTGCCGCGTCCGCGCAGTTCTCCTCTTCCTTCCCGGCGTCCTCCTCGAACTTCAACGGACCGAGCTCCACCAGTCCCAGGCTGCCGTCTTCCGAGCCCTCCCCGGGGCTCTGGTCGCCTTCCCCCCGGCTCAGTGACGCGTTCTCCCGGTAGGACTTACTGCGGCTGATGCTCACCTGCGGCGCCTGGCTGATTTTGAGGCTGTCGCTGGCGTGCTCCAGGAGAAGTCGCTCCCTGTCCAGCTTCTCTGCGTGGTCGTGGAGGTACTTCCCCCCGGGTCCGTACAGCCGGCGGAGCTTGGGTGGCAGGTGCATGTCAGCACTGAGGGAAAGGGGGTCTTTCGTTGATCCTGAGAGAGAAGCGTGTCATAGATGTCAAAATAATGAATAACAAAATGGCTGTGAAAAGCAGAGCAAACATTTCTTTTTAAATAGGTTACCGCTATAGATCTATAAACAATGTCTTCAGACTTTACAACAACTGTTAAGTTTAGAAAACATTTATTAGCCAACTATTACGAAACCAACGAGGTTATTCTCCGTAAACATGTGCTGAGTTGATGGCAATGACAAGAAACTCCTCCTGAGGCATTAACTACACACTTTGAGCATAAGACTCTTTTTTGTTAGGTCTAACCTTCATGTTTATCCTCTACAATGTTCCTAAAGGACCCATGTAGATTATTCTATTAATTCCACTTCAAAGTAAACTTACCGTCAGCCGCTTTGTCGAGCTCTCCTCTGCCGGGCAGACCCGTCAAACTTTGCGCTCCTATCAGTCTGACCTTACAGGGACTCCGGCGGCCCAGAATGCTCTCTATGCAGTAAGAGGAGAGCAGCGTCGGGGATTTACTGCTCTTCCTCTCGCCCCGGTCGTGGATATCTTCCTCAAACTGACCGCTCATGTCGACGCTTTGGTTCGTCTAGTTTCTGTAACGCCTGTCAGTCTCCCACTCTCTCCCTCTCTCTCTCTCTCTCTCTCTCTCTCTCTCTCTCCCCCTCTCTCTCCCTCTCTCTCTCTCTCTCTCGGTGTCCGGCGCTCTCCTTTTTCTTCTTCGTATTCTCTCCTCTCAGACCGGTGTGTCTGTTTGAACCGGGACCTCCTTCTGTCCTCTCCCCCCCTCTCTCTCTATCTTTCTCCCTCCCTCTCTCTCCTCTCTCACTCCTCTGTCACACTCTCAGCTAATGACGGACAGCGGCTTGGCTGCCTCGCGCTGCGCTGCGATCTGCCAGGCGCTTCTCCGCTCCGCGCGCTAGCTCAGCATACGTGTCGGCAGTTATTGCGCGCCTGATTGGCTCGTATACGTGTATGCGGGGAGAGGGACAGCGCGGAGGTGCTTTATATATTTTACGATTAAAGTTAATTTGAGGGAAAGATAGCAAAACCCGACATGGAGTTTTTTTTTTTTTTTTTTCTCCGTGGAACGAACTCAACAGATAAAGATAAAAGGAGCAATTTAAATCCTCCTTTCTCTCTTGTCGGTTTGATATTCATTTTACTCTGACATATATGATCTATGTGGTCTAACATTAAAATGTTTAAAATTTTATGATAGGGGTCAACAAAATGTAAAGTTGACTTTGTCAGAGGTGGCAACAGAGTCAGTATACAGGTGTATTTTACAACATTCATGAAGCGCAACAATGCAGCCAAACACAATAATGGTCAAATTGCAGCAGGCCACATAACACAAGATGAAAATAGACTTTTTCTCAAGGATTAGCTACATTTTTAAAAAATGGTAAAGTAGAAAAAATACTGGTGTAAATAATGATGAAAGCTGAATTCCATTCAGGTGCTTCTGTCTCAGGGCCCTATATACTGTGCATGCTGGCTCACTGTCACACTGTCATTCATGTCAGTGGGACTAAATACAACACAACCATAAAAGTGGCCTATTCTGTACACCTAGCCTAGCCTTGTTGTCCTGTACATAGGCTGTATAGGCCTATAAGACATTAGATTTTGATATTGCGTTATTACAGCAATACAGTACAGCATTAACAGTTATAGGCTAACTGTTACTGAACAACCAATCAATTCCTTATTTATGCCAGAGGATGTTTCACAATTACCTCCCTCATGGGCCCCACTAGTTTATCCTTTTTCATGTTCTTTATATTAGGCTACTATAAGATAACAATCATAATCATAATAATAAACAATTTAATTCAATTTAATAATTTAAGCAAATAGAATATAATGGGCCTATGTTTTTTGTGATGATTTTGGGGTGGACTAAATTCTTTTCACTAATTTAGGCTACTATATGTAGGTTAAATGATGAGCACATAACTGCTTTTTTCAGGTTAAAGCACTCAAACACTGCGCTGAATCCTTGTGCCAACGTGGAAAAAAAATCTGGCGCGGAGTTTGTGTTCAACCTCAGAGAGCACCTGCGAGAGCCATGTCAGAAACTGAGTCATATAGAAATAGAAATATCAAAACCAGGATAAGAATTGTGTCCTGACCTATCTATCTATCTATCTATCTATCTATCTATCTATCTATCTATCTATCTATCTATCTATCTATCTATCTATCTATCTGTCTGTCTGTCTGTCTGTCTGTCTGTCTGTCTGTCTGTCTGTCTGTCTTTTTTTTTTTCTTGCTCCCTCCCTCTCCCACCAATTGCTTGCTCTCTGCTGGAGTTGCGGATTGACTTAAAAAGTGAGGGTGGCGCGGCGGTGATGAGACGCCGCACGGGGAGCCGGGATAGCATGCAGGGACTCCGCTGTGGAGAGGGGGAGAGATGGAGAGATGGATCGAGAATGTAATTTTAAATGAAAGTCTATTTAACCCGCTGTGAATGGCATGACCCCTATCCTCGCCTCAGAGCCCATCACTGTTACAAGGATCATTTTCAGAATTCAATCCAAAAACTTCAGCAAGCTGCAATTTACTCTCTCCTTCTGTCTCTCTCTCTCTTCTTCTTCCCCTCCGTTATGTATCCGCCCGGGCTACAGCATCGCAGCAAACGAGAAATAACAATAAAATATATGTCCAGAAAATTGCACAAGTTATTCCTTTTTTTCTTTTATATGTTTTAAGCAATATCTTTTTTTTGATTGGAAGTGGGATGAGCGCCATAGATCTGTGTAAAGTTTAGTTAAGGTGCAGGCCGCTTTAGTGTAGATAAACCCAACTAACTCAGTTCTTATGTTCTGTTTTTTTAGATGCTTTAAAACGTATCTGCAGAAACAGAATTTATCAGGAGTGATAACGCCTTTTTGACAGGATGAACATGTTTGTGCAGGAGATTTTCTCTGATAAGGCCTAGACTATATGTTTGTTATCAGACAAGACAAAAATAATAATATCATTTTGTCTGCATTCATTAAATATGCAGTAGCTACTTTAATAATAATATAAGCAGCTGCAACCTGCCACCGCAGGGATGGTGTCAGAGTCGATCCATCCGCAACTTTTTGTGGTGTCACAAACTTCCGAGCTTGTTTACTTGCACGCAAATCAATGTAATGAGTGTAATAACAATATAAAATGTTATGCCTTTTTCCTGCGCGGTCACAAACAGACGTGCGTAATACAGACGAGTATTTAGAGTCGCTCTGTAATTTGGGGGCTACAATTTGATTCATTTATCCGCACACTGTTATTAACCCTGTGGAAAAAGAGATGTCAGCCGCCATTTCAGCCAGCAGGACATCCGCGCTTTGTTTAAATGCACTAATTACGCGCATACATTAGAGGGGGACGGAATAGCCTGAGCGCAATTTTCACATTTTCAATTTTCCGTCTATTTGACGTGCAGGTGAAGAGATGGCGGAGAGAGGCCGCCTTCCGTTTCAGCACCACCTCACCACCGCCTCCCCTGTATTTTCATAACATTCTAACTTGATAATATCCAGGGGAAACACCGGGTTGCATGCTTTCTTGTTCGTGCAACGCTCAGATGCCGCCGCCGCCGCCGCCGCCGCTGCTGCTGCTGTGTCACTCCGTATTATCCCCTGGAAGTCCACAGGCCTGTGCGCCCTTCTGGTGTCATGCAACATAGCTATTTATTTTACACATTTTAAAGTTAACAGGTAGATTTGTGTATTCAAAACATTGTCATTGCAGACATTTAACAGTTTTTTCATCTATGTGACGTAAGCTATCTCTGCTCCCTTTTCTGTCCATGTCTGTCCTCTCAAGTGAAGGCCAAGAAGTGATACTAATCAAGTCCATCATTTAGGACCAGCAGGTTGTGCTTTGCCTTGGAGGTTATTCAATTGGCGCCATCTCCTGGATGGAACAGCACACTGCTCTAACAGGTAAGGCCAAGTAGTTATAATATACAGGTCTGCATGCACGGTCCGTATAGGAATACATTTTATTTATTTATTCCTGTTAAAACCGACATTCCACCTGTAGGAGCCACATACCCTATATTTGCACGTGCAGGGATAGGACTAGTCAGTTGGGCGACGAACCATCCTCATGTTATCCCACAAGTTTGTTCCAGTGCAACATGTGTAAATACCGGTCCCTAACGTGCACCAACTGGCTCGTGGCCTTGGTGACGAAGACTCATCCTCCATCCATCCTCGCGCTCTGCCCTAATTGGACACTTGCTCTCTGCTTGAGAGGCCAAGCAGGAAAAAAAAAAAAAAAAGAAGGAAGGAGGAAGAGAGGGAGAGAGAAAGAGAGAGAGAGTGTGTGTGTTAGGAGGGGAGGGAGGCTTTTAAGGCGCGCGTAAGCAAAGTTAATTAGCGGTTATTAACAGCCCGCATAATGAGAGCGAGAGGGAGTCAATTTAATGACTTTGTTAGCGCGAGTTCAGAGCGACAGGCGATGATCGAAACAACAAAGGCGAGCGTGCACGCAGCCATCATCCGTAATTTCCAGCGGTAATGCGGTCTGATCAGAAACAAAGGGTTCTAATTTCGTTCAACTGACTCGATAATTTGTCCTTATGTAAGGAAAATAATTAATGACTTAATGCTTCAACAGAAGTAGCTTTCTTTGGGGGGGATTTCGGAGGCCTCGTTTGCTGGAGAAGGTCGTAAGGAAATCAATTTCCAGGCCTATAATTATTTACATCATGAATTTAAAACGTGGACGTGTGCCTTTGCTCCGGTTAGTGTGCAGACGAGTGAGAGTCTATTAGAAGAGGAGAGAAGGAGTCTCCAGATCTTCTTCCCTCAAGCAAATTGTGAATGGCAACAAATGAGCCACTTGTCATAATGTAGTACTGAAGATTTTGCGATTAGAACACAAAGACAATTATGCATAATTTGGAAGAAATGTAGGTTTTTAAAGACAACTATAAACCAAAGTCAAACCAAACACTGGGCCTAAATTTAATATGGAGGGTCATCAGTCCAAATGTGAAAGTTTTTGGTGAGAAATGATACTTGATCACACCTTGGAGCTCAGCTGAATTGATGGCCCTCATGCCTGTGCCTGTTCCCGATAATGTACCAGGTTATTGTGGCCACTGCATTGCAGAATTATCCGAGGCGTGCGCGTCTTTACGCATGATTTCATCATTCCACAGATGGGTTGAGTCGGACGAAAGATGTGAGCGCTATTATCGATTGGGGGAACATGAGCCGCCTGCGGGCCACTCTTGGATTCATGGCAGGTGCATAGGTCACCCACACGAAAGCGGCAATTTCACAGCCCCCATTGTCTCCACTGATTACTGCTTTGATCACAGGAATCAAGAGCCCGAGACTCTCGTAAACCTACCGCGGAGTCCAGGAGCTCGTGAGCTGAAGAGGTCATCATCATCATCATCATCATCATCATCATCATCATCATCATCATCATCATGGCCATCACCATCATCTGCTACATCATCACCATAACCATTATCGCCAGCATCATCACCACAAGTTGACCATACAAACCTGGGGTGCCGTGTGTTTTCACAGCCGCGTTGCCCTTTTATTGATTGCGTGCCTTAATTTTAATTCGATTGCGCGAGTGTCAAAAATTCCGCAAGAATCATCCTAGTAATGA